AGTGTAGTACATCCTCATTTGGCTTATATTAACTCATTTTTATTGTGTAAATGATTGTTCTCAAGATTGTGATTTATGTACCTTTCACCAAGGGGGCAGGAATAAGTTAGTGCTAAACAAAGCAAGTTGTTAGATATTGACCCTCACCAAGCGTACCTAGTTTATGTGATACGAAGACATAAAATCTGAGTAATAGAAGCAAGAACAAGAAGTTGAAGTACGAATATAATAAAGTAGCTGGAACTGCAGCACTCCCTGAACTGAAGGCCTTGGAGGAGTTTTATATTCAATTTTATATGTTCCGAGTTAATATATTGAGTTTTCTCATACATCTGATACTGAGCTAATCCCAGCCAGTGTTGTGGGAATACCCAGTTTATTCCCTAACTCACTTACCTACCTTCATTTGAAAATGCTTACAATTCCCCAGTCCAGTACGGGGCCCTCCTATCCTAGGCCTCCCCTCTCGAATGCACCTGATGGACTGAGGTATAGAAATCGCAGCCAGAAATGAACTGGGTTTCTGTCACTGACCGTGTGCATCTGCTAACGCGCCGTTCGATTGTGTGTTCTGAGGGCGTCAGGTTAGTGTTGTGAGGATGCTAGAGGTCATTGTCTTTGCCTTCAAAGTGCCTATAAACAGCAGGACCAGCAGAGCTCTCGGTTCAGAGGGCACAGTCCTGCACCTCTTCATCATACAATGGCTTCTGTATCACACAATAAAAAAATGAAAGAAAACATAAATCAACAGCATATTTATTCTGAAAGCACAAATGTTTTCCAGCTTCAAGATCCCAGGAGTTTCTCCAGACAATTATAAATACTCGATCTTTATTAATACGAGCAGGGGATAAATTGCTTCTTACAATCCAGACATTGCTCCAGAGAGACAAACTGGGAATTTCCAATTTACATAAAAGTTATTTTCCAGAAGTTTACTTTCACATGATTTATTTTGAGCTTGGGCTACAGTTCCCCAGAGAAAAAGTGATATGTAGTAATAATAAGCTAACATTTTAATAAACCTTTTTTTTTCTTGTTATCGAGCACTTTGGAGAGAATGATGTAGTGCAAGGCTTTCGAGCCAACCAGCCCTTCACATCCAGGTTCTGCCCTTAGACAAATTACTTGACTTCACTAATCTATGGAGAATTTTTAAAATGAGGATGAAAATACCAACCTCCCAGGATTGCTGAAAATAAGTCAGTCCAGTGCCAGTGCCTGACTCGTGCTCTCTCTCATCTCCTGCCCCTGCTGTGGTTTTATGAGTACAAGAAGGACCACCACTTGCGGTGGGAACAGATAAAAAGGAAAATCCCCTTGCAGTAAGTAGAACATTATCTCCATTTTTTCTTAGAGTCCGTTTTGTACAGTAACCCAAACTGATGTGGTAGTTCTCTCCTGCCATGTAATGTTTCTTGAGCTCGTGCTGTGCACCAGGCACTGTGCTCCCTGAATCCTCACAGTGACCCTGCAGTCAGTAGCTGGTGGAGTTGGGTTCCCAGTCAGTGCCATCAAACTTGACTCCAGCCTTTTTCTCCTGTACCACACAGGTACTTGGCTGGTTACATTTTCCCAAGGCTGCTTTAATCTAGTGGCAAGAGAGATTACTGAGTTGGAAAGTGAACTGGGTTCTGCATCTCTCTCTATTTATCCCTATCAGATCTAAATCTTTGCCCCGTCCAATTGTCTGTAAAACTCTTCTAGATAAAATCTGCATCCAAACCGTTGGGGTGGGAGAGGGAAGTTCCTGATTTTCTGGAACGCAAGAGGGGAATCCACTGAGTTAGTATTTACATATTCCCTTTCTGAGCTCCGAAGATTTGCTCATCTTTGCACTGTTTTACCCTAAGAAGAATCAAGTTTGAAGTCAGATATTCTTAAACATATTCTTACATGTGTAAAAATTTAAAACTTTGATGATTCCGATCCTAAGGCCCTCGTGCTGTGGCTGTTTGGAGGCATGAGTGGAGAAAGTTCTTAGAAGGGAAAGATAACCACAGAATTTTCCACAGATTTTTTTTTTTTTTTTTAAATCACATTGGAGGTGGGGGTTCTTCCATGTTGACATGCCTGGTGTGGTTAAAGAAGCCAGACACAGACATAGATCTAACCTGGCTCCACAGGTAACATGCTCTGTGACCTTGAGTATGTTACCTGAAGTTTCCCCATTTGTAAATGGGCTGTGACAGGTGCATAACAGAAGTCCAGACATCTCATTTCCTTAAATATCAAAGGCTTTTGAATTGAAGGAGGGGTAGGAGTAGGAAATTTCTTAGACTTTTGGATTGGGGTTGTGGTAGAAGGAGGGAAAAAGGCTGGGGGGAGGCGGGTGGTTGATGGAGTAGTTGTGCAGAATGAGAGACTTTTAATACACCGGTCAAATTCTCCTTGTGACTAGGGCTGTCCAGACCTCTTAACTTTTCAGCCTTGACACAGTACTTCCAAGAGGTTCAATGCAGTTTCATTTTCAGAAAAAAGACAGCAGGAAAAAATGGGGAGACCAGAAAAGTGATGAATTTTTATAACATTTAAGTAATTTCCAAAGGCTTTTTCTGGTACCTTTCATTCCCTTTGCCTCTTTATCTCTGTGAAAATCAAAGTTTATATAAATAACTTAATGAGGACAGAGAAAATGACTTAGAATTGTGCATTTCATCATCTCAGAATCCAGGTGTCAGATCCATTTAATTCAAGTATTCTTTAAAATATTATGATTTGCCAGAAATCAAGCCAGATACTTCATGACTCAGAATAACCATTTTACTCTCCCTTCCCACTCTCCAGTTCTCTGCATATTTCATTCTTCGCCCAGTGCAAAATGGGGGAGTAAAATCCTAGCAAAGTTCTTCACTGCAATATCTACTATTAACTAAATCAATAGAATACCTGTTCATTTCTTGTGAAATGCTACATTAAGACTTTCTTGAACTGTCACTTATTATGAAAAGTAGCATCTCAGCAGTTTCAATTCCTCAGAGGTTAACAAACTTGGTCGTGGTTCTTAATGGCCAGATGAGTAGGCTTGACCCTCGGAGAGTTAGAATATAGTGGTGGTCTGGGCTTGCCTGCCCTGGCTTCTTTGAAGACTATCTTCTCAGGAGCCACTCCCTAATCTTGGTGGAGAGGAGTCCTCACACCACATATAGGGAATGATGTGAGTCTGTAGCAGCCTTGCCAGAGCCACTAAACACAGCTCTTTGCTGATGCCAGGCCAAGCTCAAAATACCTTACAACACAGCTGAGGCCATGGTGAGCCCAGCTGGCCAGAGCACAGGAGCAGTGTCTCTGAGGAGGGCTACCCAGACCACTCCCAACCCAGGTACACAGGTTCCCTGATGTTCATGAGGAACATTTGAGGACTAGGATGTATAGGTAGGAAATAAGGTGATAGAACAGGCAGGAAGATCAGAAAGGAGCTTTTGGGGATGCAGGGTGAGAGTGCTAGATGATGGGTTTTAGAGCTATTGGGTGGTTTTTATGAGTTCTATTCCTGGGCCAGTTCTAAATACATGAATGCAGGAGCACATGTGCTGGACAGTGTACCCAGACCGCACTGACATCTGATACTTTAGCATCTGGTGAATCCTAGCAGTGGCATGGCTGCTTTTAGAAGGCTCCAATTGAGTTCCATAGGACTGACCCCACAAAGTTCTTTGTTGTTGAAATCTTTGATGCTCTGCACAGATTAAGCATACAGAGCCATCTATATACTTTATATACATAATAGAACCATCTAATTTATACTTTTCAGTTCCCATGAAAGCATTTCTTGTTCTTTTTGTGGATTTAAGTCTAATTACTTCACTGGATAATTATAGAAGGAGATGGAAGACAAGATGTTCCTATATCTAATGACACTTTGCTAAGAGAGCTATGTCTTTATTTTTTTTTTTTTTACTTTGATCGGCATCTTCAATTCCTTCCGTTGCTTTGTTTCTAAAAGTTTGATTTTGAAAATTAAATACTATGGATAAGGAGATTTGGGGGGTTTTTGTTTTTTAGTTTTAAAAGGCTTAAAGTTAGGAATATGGCTTTGCCTATTCATGGCTGTTCTAGCGGCTTGCTATAGTGCCACCTTCTGTTGAAGTTTCTTTTGACAGCCATTGGTCACTGAATAAAGGAAAATCTTGGATGTAAAATTCAGCTAACCTGGAAAGCTTGACAGAGTAAAATAGAGTTAGACTTTAGCTAATTGCTAGCTGCTTACTAACTTTTGTAAAAATTAAAATTCAAACTATCTCTTCTTGGTGGAAAGTAATTGGGGAATTAAAACTGCATTGTTATTATTATAAGATAATTTGGTATTGCTTATTGAACACTTACATATTAAAGATAGGTGTATTTTAGACATGGCGCAAAATATCAGTATGTATTAAGGTTTGTATAAATGGCACTTCAGGGTTTACTACTAAAATTTTGGTGACAGTAAATTCTACATACATTTTTATAGGCAACAAATGCAGAAATTATTCTCCCCTAAATCACTCTGTGATATTTACTGAATGCAGAGTTGACAGCGCTAAAGTAGGCAAACTGGACTAACCTAGATGTTCCAAAAATAACTTGTCTTTTCTTTTAACTTTCTCCTTATGAAGAATTCTCTTCCAAAAATTTGACCACAAATGCAAGGACTGAGAACTCATGTCAAAAGTTTTTCTCTTCATACTTCTGGTTCTGTTAAAATGAAATATGGCTCCTGGAAGTCAGACAAAATTTCCATCAGCGGATTTTGTAAACTGATTTTGGATCATCTTAGGTAGGGCTTAAATTAGACCTTGAGATAACCGATTATACTTAATTTGCTTAGCGTTTTGTCCGGAATTCCTAACGGGGAACACACTTCAGGCTAAATGACTTGTGCGTTATTCGGAGCGGGGAATAGTCTGGAGCTGGCAAACGTCGGAGATTCCGTCCACAGGTTAACCTCACGGCCCCCTGTGAGCATTCCTTCTAGTTTGCTCTCTGAAGGTGTCGCTTTTCTCTCTCTCCCCCCCCAGGGACCCTCTGAAAATCCAGCAACTCCAGAACCAAATCCGACTGGAGCAGGAGGCCGGCACGCGGCACCAGCCGCCCGCCGGCGCCCCGCGCAGCGCGCCCCCGTCGCCGCCCTTCCCGCCGCCGCCCGCCTTCCCCGAGCTCGCGGCCTGCGCGTCGCCCGCCTGCCCGGAGCCCATGAGTGCGCTCGCCCCCCGCTGCTCCGCGCCCGCCATGCAGTCGTCCGGCTCCTTCAACTACGCGCGCCCGAAGCAGTTCATCGCCGCACAGAACCTCGGCCCCGCGTCGGGCCATGGCACGCCGGCCTCCAGCCCCAGCTCCTCCAGCCTCCCGTCGCCCATGTCCCCGACCCTGAAGCAGTTCGGCCGCGCGCCGGCACCGTCCTTCGCGCAGTCCTTCGGCGCCGCTGAGGCCGAGGCTCCGTGGTGCCAGTCCTCGCCGTCGCCCCCGCCGCCGCCCCCGCCGGTCTTCAGCCCCACTACGGCCTTCCCGGTGCCTGACGTGTTCCCGCTGCCGCCGCCACCACCACCGCTCCCCAGCGCGGCCCCGGCCGCCCTGTGCACCTCGCCCACGGCCCGCTTCGGCCACAGCCAGACGCCCGCGGCCTTCCTCAGCGCCCTGCTGCCCTCGCAGCCGCCCCCGGTGGCCGTCAATGCCCTAGGCCTGCCCAAGGGCGTCACCCCCGCGTGAGTGACAGCCGCACCCCCTCTGCCTCCCCACCCGCTTGCCCGCCCCACACACCCCTACCCTAGTACTCCCACTAATCCACAGCCCAGGGGTAGCGCTCCTCCGTTTTCTCGTTCCTTTCGTCAGGGTTTAGATTCTCATCACCGCAGCTTTGCCAACTATTCTTCCTTAGCTGTTTTACCGTTACCAAGATCAGTACTTTCTCTTCTGCCTTCAACAACTGAAGACTCTTGGTCAGAAACTACCCAAAATCTACGCCGGGCTCTTGATAATTTTGATGGCAGGGGCGTTAGCTACCACGTAGAGCATCGTGCTAAGCAATCACGTTCCTTACCTCATTTGATTCACTCCTGAGAGCTATCGCTGGCTCACTTACAGCTGAGGATTCCCGGAAAGAATTTGCTCAGGGTCACATGAGCCCCTCAACGAAGATCCGAATTCCTGACTCCAAATCCATGCTCTTACCAACGAACCACGTATCTTAGTACCTCAGATCAGGATTGTAATAACTGTGGAGAGGCTTGGTTATTAAGTTATACACCTTATGTTTTTTAAAATATCTACATTAACAATTAAAAAGTAAGTCTTTACATATATGTAGTAATTGAGGGGAAGGCAGACAGACATGTAAATGTCTTTGTGTCATCCTTACGGGTGAGGACGTGTGAGATCTAGTGAAGAAAGGATGTGCCAGTTCTGTCCCCTGACTAACCGTAATCTCTAGGTAGACTACATAGATCCTCCGTCTCAGTTTTTCTGTTTGCAGATAATAAGTACTTGTCTTTCCTTGCGTCACAGTGATGATGTGGCAGCCACTGGAAGTCTTTAAATAGAAAATCTACAAGGATAATTAAGATGACTTCTACAAAAGTACATGAAAGCCTTCAAAAGAAATCTATCAGATAGGTGTTTGGCCCATATTATTGATGACTAGCACATACTCATTTTATGAAGAGCTCAAAAGCAAGTACCATTCATCAAAGGTCAAGCTAATTCCTACATCTCTGAAATAAACTCTGAAATCCTACTTCAGAGTCTCCTAGACTCCAAATATTGTTCAGGGAAAAAAGAAGGAAATTCTCCTGGAGAAAAAAATGAAAAGACCTTAGAATTTAGGTACTATTCATTCTGTGAAAAATTGCCCATTTGGGGATGTACTAACACGTTAGACAGCATTGCCATGTTTGCCTTTGGCAAGATGTATGGAGGAGCTTCTGTTAGCAATCTCTCGTTTCATAACTGCTTTCTAAATGTTGATTACATGAATTCTATATTTGAATCCGGCTTCTTCTCAAATCTTTATTGGTAAAAGCTCAAATGAATATATAAGTAGAATAAAGGAGAAGAGTTTGTGTAGTAATGTTGTGATAATGGGATTCTACTGAAAGTTGAGTGAGTCAACCTGTCTGAGAAAATGTTTTTCTCCCCTCTTCTTGGTTTTCTTTTATTTGGCTGCTAGGAAATGAAGTATTCTCTTGCCACAAAGAAGCTAACTGTTAGATTGAAAAAGTGGGAGTTTGTTGCTTGACACTGTTTTGTCCCTCTTACTAGGAAATGGTACCAAATCTTGCTTACCAGGAAGAAAAACACTTATCTGTGTAATATCTCTCCTCCTGAACAAAGACTAGACTGTCAAAGGTATTGGGTTGTCATACCTTTTATCATCTTAAGTAGAAACAGTAGTATTTTCTGATCTTTGAAATTCTCTTAAGAATATATGCAGTTCTAAGAGCTTAACTCAAGTAAAAGAAATATTTTCTCTTATCTATCATAGTTATTAATTTTATGGAGTAAAACATTTTATGAATGTTACCACTAAAGAATCTGGTACCTCCTGCCATTTCTTTAAAAAGTAATGGAGAAGTCATGCTAGCTTTGTGGATATCTATGGAAAACTGTACCCAAAGTTAGACACTGTGGCACCAAAGATAAATGGCAATACAGACTGCAGATTTTTATCTCTATGCCAGTCCAATAACCACTATTGTATGGTTACCCTTTTGTCTCCAAGAATTTTCCTTTTGCTAAATAACACATACTTGAAGAATTCACTCTTCCGGTTTGATACATGTGACTTTTGGAACACGTTTCTCCTCTGGTATATTATGGGATCCCTCATTTGCATTCTGAATTAAAGATGAAAGGATAGCTATTTTTTCCATCATAATAATTCACATGATTTGCCAAAGATTGAATGTCCCTGTTAGGGACGCCATGACTACAAATTATGGCATCCTTGAACTTGTAGGAACTGGCAAACTGTTGCCAAATGAATCTTTTACTTTCATTTATATTTCACTGTGAATTTGTGATTATGATAGCAAATTCAGTTCCACTTATATATGTAATTTCTCTGGTTGTTTTGTCATATTTGTCAAGTGCCAGTAAACAGACTGATTACACGATTTATAAGTAGAAATACAGTGTTTTTGCCTGCCTTGTTTTATCAAAATCCTAAATATGTCAGTTACCTCAGTTTTCTTAATCAGTGGCATACTAGTTGTTTTGTTCTGTTTGTATGTTTAGCCTTTTCCTCATTTTAATCCGGAAAAGGGTAGGCTGGTCATGCACTAAGGTTTTAAATAGTCCACGAAGATAAGGTTCTATTTCTCCTATGTCTGGGTAGCAGAGGTCGGACAGGGAACAAAGGCCATGGATGCCAGGGATCTACCACAAGGTCAAGAAGGCCACTGATAGTGAGCTGTACTCAGACTCACAGCAACACTATTTGGTTGTTGGTTGATGGCAGTTTGGGGAACTTCTGCCCATCCAGTTCCTCCAGTGCCTTTCTTCAGACAGCTGCATTCTTCCCCAAGGTGACCGGGGTCACTAGCGGCTTCTTAAAGCTTTTGACAGACACAAATGTGAACTTGACTAAATCTTTCAGCTAGGGGCAATGAGGAGAAAACATGCCTTAGAAAGAAGCCTGTTTGCAAGTTGATAAAATTCATGTATCCTTCTCCCCTCACAATGGCTGATAGGTTTACAGCTTCCACTGCTGTCACCCTGTTCCTCTACACGGTAAATCTCCTATGAGGTGGTGGGAATCCGGAGGATTTGGGAATGCTCCCTAGGAAGAGCGCAGTAGTTGTGTCTCTGATGGTCTCTGAGCAGCTGTACCAAGTCTCCAGGTGAATCAGATCAGAGCTATCTCCAAAAACCAGACTGGCACTGGCTGGCACTGTAGTTTTTGTCCACCTTCACATTCTTAGAATCTGTTCTCATAAGGGAGTGCCACAAAGCCACAGTGCTATAATGTTTCATACTCTTAATTGTCTCTCTTATATAAGTAGGCCTTTGGTTTGAAATGTTATCCCATGTTTGTCAAAAGGAAAAGCATGTGTCAATAAGAGCTTTTATATGGATGTTTTTGTGAGAGCTTATACTCTGTAGGCATTCAGCTCTTTACATGATCTCATTGTCCCACTCTTTCTCCCCGATTTATAAGAAACAGGTAGGTGGGGACACTGTCATCACTGCGCATTCAAGGTGAGAGTGCCAAGAGGTGAAGGGATTTCCCAGGGTTCTGGAATAAGCCTGAGCAAAGACAGAGTCATGTGACTTAGCCTGGGTGTATTGCCCAGGTTGATCGCAGATAAAGCTGATGTCTACTATTTTTTGATCAAAGAAAACAGCTGCAAACCAACAAAACAGAAAACCCTAAGTCTTAAGGAAAAGTTTGTAAAGATTTATTTGTACTTTAGGCAGTTTCTCAAGTCAAGACAGTAGTTAGATAGTAACTAACAGGAAAAACAAAAGCTGCATTGGATTCTGCAGACATTATCATCTCATTATTCCTGTCTTTCTCCCATCTTGCAGGAAATAAGTAGGTGGGGGGGGCTTTGTCATTCCCTATCAGAGGCAGAGGCCTGAAGGGGTTGGGGGCTTCCCTAGGGTCTTGTTACTGGGTTCACTAGTATCTTAGAAGATCACCCAGAACATTGCATCCAGTCCTAGGCAAGTATTTCCTGGCAAATTAGCAAATGAGATCTCATGGGCGGCTGTGACTGATGATGATTCTGTTGAAATGTCTGCCCCTGGAACAGATCAGAATCCGACATCCTCATCTTGGATGGCTCTGTACCAAGTTGTGGTAGAGTATACACATGTGTGTAAGTTTTTTCTTTAGAGAAGCCAAAAGATAATGTGAGGAGAACTTAATATATTTACAAAGGCATCTATTTTCCTTCAGGTATGAGCTCAGGTTAGCCACTTGTACTCTAACAGCTTTGGTTTCATAATAAAATTCAGTTAGAAAAAATAGAATTGATATACAAAAACTCAGTTTGTGTATCTTGGGCTCTTTTATATATTAATTCACACATTCTTGAATATGAGGGATTCCTAAATGCCAGCATGTTAATGATTCTGCTTACTATGAAATTTTGTGGACTTTAGTCACTATTAGAGATCAGTGAATATGAGAAGAGAGTAAGAGGACTTTCAGTAATTAGAAAAGTTCTTTGGCTGCTAGATAGGTACATTACCTCTTAAATCAGTGTTGTACCCTGGAGATCTGAGTTTCTGGAATACACTGACAGAACTGACCTAGAATAGTATATCAAGGGCAGGATGCTTTCAAGATTATTCAGTAGCTAAGAAAAAAAAAGAAAACCTCTTAGGATTTGGTGGTGGTTGCATCTGGAAGATTTTACCTTCCATATGCATGTGTATATGTTTAAGGTGTTTTTACCCCCCAACCACATGAATATTATTTTAAAATGGTAAGTGACTTACTCTTGAAGCTAGAGTAAACAGATCAGTAATATTTTTTTGCAGAGTTGGGCTGAACTGTATATATACTGAAGTATTTCTATTCAGTGTGGTAGGCTTGTATGAATTGTTTACTGGTTAAGATCTGCTTCTGAGTATGGGTTTTTGTGAAGAGTTCTGGTTTTAGTAACAGTTTACTTTGAGTAAGCATTTAAGCATTTTTATTTTTAATTGTACAAGCCACCATGAAAGGAGATCATCTCTTTGTCACCAAGTATTTTTAAAATTTCCTAATAAGTTGTTGCTCTTCATTTATCAAAAGTGGTCCCATTTGGGAGAACCAGCCACAGTGATTTTACTTTAAATTCCAAGAAAGAATTAGTTTTAGAGGAAAACAAACTCAGTTGCAAAAACTTTGCCTCAAAAACTTACAACTATTTTTCTTTTCTGTTGCCTCTACCACAAAAGAATACTCCACTTTGGTTTCTACTAGAACATTATATACTAACTCTTAGCTCTGTGCTCAGTTTTAACACAGTTGCTTGAAGTGTTTTCTGAATTATGTTAATCCAAATGAGATACTCTCTGAAAAAAAGAAAAGGTTCCATATTAAAATAAGGCTGAGAAGTATCCAGTACCTCTTTTCTCAGGGTTCACAATGCCCTGGTGACCCTGCCAGGCCCATTCAGACTGTGATTGACTGCATTGTGTAATACAGTCACCCAATCACACTCCGTCCCTTCCTAGCACTTGACACCTTCCTGCTGTGTCCCTCCTTCCACCCTTTTACTTCCCAATTCTGCCAGCCCCACCTTAGAATATAATTTTTCTAAATACAGTCACTTAGTTTTGTTCAACATTGTATTCTGAGCACCTAGAACAGAGTTGAACATGAGAAGCCAATCAATAAAGGTTATTTGCAACTTTTCGGAAACCAGTCAAGAGTTCTTGGTATCTTTTTAAACTCCTTTCCCTTTTTCATTCTGTTCCCCTCAGCCAGTTTCGTCTCCCTGACCGACTTCCATACTGGGCAGTTTCCATTGGCCTCTCCAGAGCCACCCTTAGTTTGCCAGGCACTGATCCAAGTGCTTAATATGTAATTAGCTAGTGTCATTTTCCTACTAATCCTATGAGATATATGTTCTTAATACCTAGGTTTTACACTTCACAGAGGAGGAAACTGAGGCATGTAGCCATTAGTAAATGGCCAAACCACAGTGTTTGAGGCACTAAAAAACAAGACACAGTCTCCCTTCTACACCTTTATTCCTGCTGAGTCTGAATTCCTTCTCTCCCTATCTCTACTCATCTGCATCCTTATCATCTTTCAGGATTCCCTCTTTCATAGAGTCTTCTGCAGTCATGCTAGCCAGAACTCTCTTCAACTTTTTTAACTCCCATTGCACCTAGAATTACTAAGACATAGTTTGTTCCTTCATTTATTCTCCAACTTGATTCTCAACCCCTCCGAGGTCAAAGACCACCCTGTAGGATTTGATCTTCTCCTTGTTGTGTAGAATGCTTTTTAGACTATAGTGATAACGCTTTTGTTGTATTATTTTCACTTTTATGCAGAGAATTTCTACTGCACAGAATTCCAAGATGTCATCAGGTGACACAGTCACTTATCTTACAAACCAACTATGCAGTTACAGGCTTAACAGAATTTGTATTGATGTATTTGCCTAGCATTGTACCTTAGTATATACTCAGTAAGTAGTTGTGCAGTGACTATTAGACATTTAAAAATCTTTCAATTGATTGATTTGATTTCAGTGTTAATTGTTCAGAATGAAGAGAATATGTACACCTTAAATTCTGTGAGTAAGAGAAAATAATGTCTTTAGCAGGAAATAGAGATGAAGTAAATGCTCCTCTAATGCTTGTGATCTTTCTGTGTTTGGGGAATCCCCTTGTTAAAAGAAATATAGAATGACCAGGGTTTTTTTGAGGGTCAAAGAGTAATTTTAATTGTACTCTTTGAAACAATAAAATGCTGGGTGGCAGGAACCCAAACCAAGGTGAATGGCTTCTCTATGAATTGTCCCAGAGCAGTCATTCTTAAGTTCCCTAAAAAGTCAAGTATACTGAGAAATGCTTTTTAAACCACGGGACTTATTCTGTCATGAATAGACAGGTGTTTACTTGTTCAAGAGGACTTGTGGCTGTCTTTTTAAAAAAACAGTTCTCTCTTTCTATTATTTAGATGATCTGTTCTGGCCTTGAGAGCCGCCCTTTGCCCTTTCTTTCTTATTTGGGCAGAGAACACAGCTCTCAGTGTATCCTGCCTGCAGAGACACTGAAGCTTCTGTCTCAGTGGCTGCTCGTTATCACATAGCTGTGCAACTCGTCTATGTTGTCAAGCTTAAAGTAGGAATAGGAACCCGTGTGTTCCCAATATATATAACACAGAGCTGGCTTTCATTTTATCTTTCAGGTGACTTCAGAATACACCTCTTCTAAGTTCACAGAGGTTAAGGCTTTAGTCAAATGCAGCACAGAAATTTATTTCCAAAACTGTGTAATTTGTATGTGTTCTGAGCCTGACTTTTTACATGTGGTTTGATTATAGATGGCTTTGGGGCAAATTTTCTTGCCTAAGAGGCGAAGGCAGAGAGAGGTCAGAAGTGAAAATAGAGGGGTGCCTAGGTGGCTTAGTCGGTTGAGCATCTGCCTTCAGCTCAGATCATGATTCCAGCCGGGGTCCTAGAATCACCCTGAGTTGGGCTCCCTGCTCAGCAGGGAGTCTGCTTCTCCCTCTGCCTTTGCCCCTCCCCTCCACCCTTCCCACCCCTCCTCTTCCACTCTCGAATAAATAAATAAAATATTTTTCTTAAAGATTTTATTTAAGTGTGCCTGGGTGGCTCAGTCAGCTAAGCAACTGCCTTCGGATCAGGTCACGATTGTGGACTCCCTGGATCAAGTCCTACATCGGGCTCCCTGCTCAGCGGGGAGTCTGCTTCTCCTTCTCCTCTGCCCCTTTCCCTCTCCTTTGCTCTCTCTCTCTCTTTCTCCAAAATCTCTAAATATTTTATTTACCTATTTGAGAGAGAGAGAGAGAGAGCATGAGAGGGGAGAGATCAGAGGGAGAAGTAGACTCCCCGTGGAGCAAGGAGCCCAGTGCGGGGCTCAATCCTGGGTCTCTGGGATCATGACCTGAGCTGGAGGCAGATGTTCAACCAACTGAGCCACCTAGGTGCCCCAATAAATAAAATCTTTGGCGGGGGAGGGAACAAGAAGTGAAGATGGCTATACATACGTTTACTTACTCCATTAACGTTATTCAGGTCTGCTTTTTGACAAGCATTTTGATTAACCAGAGGCAGGGTGCGAAGAAACAATTAAAAAGAGCATATATTAATAAAGTTTGATAAGTGCTATGAAGAAAACAAACACGGTACAATAACTAATGGGTAGACTTGGCCAGGGTCCTCCTTTCCAAGGGGACAATACACTGAAACCTGCAGGCTGAGGACATTGTCCTGAGAGAGTAAGGGCCAGAGGTGCCAGGCTCAGGAAAGCAGACACAGAATGCACATTTTTGCTGAAGGATTGTATGGTTCCAAAAATTGAGGTTGTAAGTCATGATTCCTATGGCTCTTTGTGGTCATGTGTCACAGCTTCACCACCCAACTCTTAAAAATCAAGATCAACTTCCAGGCAGTACGATACAACAGAGTCTGACCTGGTTTTTCATATTCAAACACAGGATATCATAATATTTTCTTTAATACCAGTGTTTAACGCCCTCCATTTGAACTTCAAAGCAAATGACTAGAAAAGGAGGAACCTGGAAAAGCTATCAGGATATTTTCTGCAGTTCATGTCAGAAGACTCAACTACCAGGAGATCAAATGCACCTGGTTTACTGATTTACATAACAAGTGTGGGGTCAGGTGGCTCCACCAGTAGGTCACCTGTGTCCCAAAAACATAATCAGGGCTCCGGGGTCTCTTGTCTTTCCAAGCTGTCATCATCAGCATGTTGCAGGTTCTCCCCTTGATCTCAGTGTGGACGTAGCAGTGTAGGGCGTCACATTTTAACACTGTGGGAGCCAGTGAAAGAAGAGGGGCACTTCTTCCTGCGTGTTGCTTTTTAGAGATGAGACATTTTTCACTAGAGCACCTCACCCTTTCCAACTTCCATTTCCCAATCCAGTGGCCAGGCTCCATCACCTGCCTCTGGCCACACTAACCACTGTCCACAGGACCACAGGACCGTGACCATTCGACATAGGTCAGTCACGCCTGAATTTGGGGAGGCGGTCACCTTCTCTAAGCACACTGGAGGGTGAACCCCCACAAAATCAGGGGAAGTTCAGCAAAGAACCGGGAGAATGGACAGGAGCAGCACAGGCCTCAGGACTCTCCAGTATTACTAATGAGAGCGGAGTGCTCCTCGGTCACAGGATGCCCATGTGCCTGACAAGTGACCCTAGTGCCTTGTGCTTTTGTCCTGCAGGGGATTTCCAAAGAAGGCCAACAGAACTGCTAGAATAGCTTCTGATGAGGAGATTCAAGGCACAAAGGATGCTGTCATTCAAGACCTGGAACGAAAACTTCGCTTCAAGGAGGACCTCCTGAACAATGGCCAGCCGGTACGCAGAGATGGATTTGGGGCCTGAACTTGGAATAGTAGCTACCCACATCAGAGAGCTCTTCCTTCACTTTGGTTCTTGGAGTTTGGCCGCAAAATTGATTTCATTCACCCTAAATCTCAATGTTCTTAGCGTTATGCCCTGAATCTGGGGAAAGGGGAGAAAGGGGAAAGGCTTCCCTCGACTTGGCCTCCACTCTTTCCTGCCATTCATGAAAACCATTCTTGGAGTGAAGTTGGCAAGTTGCAGACAAAGAGGAAGGGCTGATTTTAAGATGGGGACTAAAACAAATGAGGAACTGCAGCATTACAAAGAAACAGGAACAAATCTGGGCCAGGTAGGAGGGGGAAGGTGTGCTCTGGAATGATCTGTATCTACCAAAAGGAGAATGTGGATTCTCTGACATGTACGCCTTCTACACAAAGGCTGTCTTTACTGAGGAAATGACCCCTGAAGTCCAGTACTGTTCTAGTAGACCATTACTAGATACTGATTTGGTAATCTGAAAGAGTAACGCTTGTTTCACAGTATTGTTCTGCTATCTGTACAGTAGATCTGGTAAACAATGTATGTATATAAGATGTTTTTGCCTTTGGACTTCAGTATTTCCTCATCAGTTGTTTCTTGTTTTTTACTGACCCATCCTCTTATCACATCTGAGTATTTTTAAGGGGACAGGAAGAACAAGTCTCGTAAATAAGGTTTTCCGGGTGAAGGAAAGGAGACTTGTGTGGCTTTATTTTGGAATTATCACCAGAAAATTTGTCCGGCTCTTAAGCAGAAGAAAAAGGCCTCTTTGTGGAAAAGCTCCCTCTCAGATACCTTTTTCAGAGTAGAAAGCTCTCTATGTTAAGTATGTTTTCTAGGAATTTTAATTCTCACACATTGATAAATAAAAATGTGAGAACAAAACTTGTTTGATTGGAAAGGTGAAGGGTAGAGGAAGGGTGCTGAGTGCTGCTTTTAATTATTAGGGCATCCTAATCTGAGTTCAGGAAGATTAAAATTCTAATGAGATCTTGTGTTGGTCACTCATTTCATTGAGAATAGAAGATTTTCACAAAGGGAAAATATTTTCTCCCTGAAACAAGTAATTGCATGTGTAAATGTGCATACTCTGGAAGTTTTCCCTGGCTCTGTCAACTAAAGCCTTTGAAAGATTAAAACAAATACTTATGGGAACTTACTCAGGCCAGGTAAAGGCATTTCTCCAGTTTTTTGGGTCTCTGTTTAAATATTCCTTATGGACTAAGAATCTCTTGCTCAAAGAGACTTAAGACATCTATAAGCTGTTATATTATACTATGTATATTATATGTATATCTATCTGTTTAGCAGTGAACGATGTTCACAATGAGTTCCATAGATTACCACATTTGAGAGTTTAAAAGGACAACTTTTTCCTAGTGCTGCATATTATTCTATTTCTTTTTTTGGCTTCCATAGACAGGGCTTGGATATCCACATGGCCTAGTGGTTTAGAAACAAAATTGAAGTAAATTTGGCTTTTAGTGGTAGCAGGTGCATTCTGGCAGAGGACTAGGTATCAAACTGGTATTTCTGCTTATAAGGAAAAGAGTGGAAATTACTCCAGTCCTACCTCTGATGTTCATACAGTTCTCCATGAAAACATGGAGAAGGCTTTTTAAGAGAGCAGGTATTTAAAACTCTTTTTGAAAATTGAATTCAGTGATTCTTTAACCGATGTGAGAAAATTAATTTAAATAATAACATACTTGGACTGAGACAGTCCATGCACCAAAACACATACCTCTATCCCGTCTTATCCTCCATCCCTTCTTTAGTAAATGAAATTATATGAACTTCAGGACTATTTGTCATTTGGCATGGACTTGTTTCACTTCCCGGTTTCAGCTGGGACTAGAACCAGCAATTACTGGAAATTGTAAATTTATTCAACATATTTTCCTGATTAGAGAGTTTCCAATAGAATTTGCATCTATGTTCAGAAGTTTGGAACTTTACTGAAATAACTTCTGTATTTTTTTAAGATCCTGCCTTACTAATTATTCTTTATTTTGAATCAAACACTTGTTTATGGGACAGAAGGTCTCTGAAAGTTCTTCTCAGACCTGTAATTCTAAGGCATTTTAGAACCAAAACTCAAAGGCAGGAAACAGCCCAACAGACAGAACAAAAACGTTGGCATTTCTTTTGTGTAAGAATGGCCCAGCAAATATATTTTGGCCAAATCTAGAGTACTGGCTGCTAGATGCAAAAACATTACCACTCTGTTAGCCTGATGGGCAAGCAGTCTTCCTCCGAGCAGAATCTTGAATTATGGATACTAGCTTTGGCAAGTATCTTTCACAGTCCTTTTGCTGATTCAGCCATGTGCAATCATTCTTTGGGGACTATTATATTTGCCTACATTCACCTGCTACACAGCAGCCTGGAAGGTGAGAATCCCAAACAGAGGGGACCCTCACTGTCAGCTAGTCTAAAACTTCCCTTATCAGAGGCTTGGAGCAGATACACTGTCTCGAAGATTGTTGGGATGGCAATAAAAATAACATTTCCTTTAAAAAATATTTTGCTATTTGAGTATCTTTTTTCTCTATATGCATCCTTAAGGATTAGCATATGACAGGTATTTTCTTTGTGGTTTCTGCTTTGTTTGGTTATTATATTCACCTTAAATTTGTGCTGTATCAGTTGGTGGCTTTCAAGAGTAGTTACCCCACCTCCCAACACAGGATTAAGCCACTAAGACCGGAAGGGGAGGTGAGAGAACAACTGAACAACTGAATGAAACAGACTCCTTTTATATACAGGTATCTGAAGGTTGAGAGAAAATAGTTACAGAAAACATCAAAACTCATTTTTTTTAAGTTCCTTATGAGGCAGTATGTAATTGTGAATTTTCTAATTTTGTATTTTCTGTGACTTGCTTTGTTTAGAGGTTAACATATGAAGAGAGAATGGCTCGTCGATTACTAGGTGCTGACAGTGCAACTGTTTTTAATATTCAGGAGCCAGAAGAGGAAGCAGCTAATCAGGTACTGAGTTCCTCTGGACTAATTAGAAAAATAATAATTATTCTCACCCCTCTCCCCATCCTCTTTATGGACACTATTCTTGGGATCAATTCTGTGAGAATTCGAGGGCAAGTCAAAATGAAAAGCAGTATTAATATCACCAATCACTCTCAGAGCTGATATTTATTGAATACATAGCATGTGCCAGACAGGTGTGTGAAGTGACTGGTAAGAGTTATTTCAGTCAGTGATACCTGTCCTTTTATCTTCTTATTGGTCAAGTTTTTTCTCCTTTCAAGTATCTTTCTGTTTTTCCTGTCCTGTGTTTTAATGCAAAACAGCTTCTGGGGAGAAACATATTTTTATTGAAACTGTATGAAATAGGTAGTGAATTATTTCCAATTATATTCTTAACATCTAGTCAAAATAAAATATGTGTATAGAAAAAATGATGTCTTTATTTTCCCTTACATATACAGTTAGACATCACTAATCAGCAGAAAACCTGAATCACTATTTTTGTTCCCTGGCTACGCTCAAGAAAAAGTCCCTTCATCAATTTGATGTAACCTGTTTTATAATCTCCACTGCTTCTGCTTGGTTTCCAGATGTAGTCTCAAGATTAAAGAAAGCATTTTAAAACAAGTTTAAAGGATCAAGTAAACTCTCATAGATGTTGAAAAATAGATCTGCCTTCAATATCTGAAGACTTTTCTGCATTAAATATTGCTACCACAAAAATCTCTTAAAGAAAACTAGAAATCTTGCTAGATTCTTATTTCTGTTATTAGTCTTCACTTCTTTTTTTCTACCATTACAGGACATTGGGTCTCCTCATGCTTCTGTAGGGAGTCCTTTGGATGGTCAAAAGGTTAAGCTTTCATCTTTCTTCCCCTTCCGGTCTTTCACTGTATCTGTTTTCTTGTGTTCTTCCTTACCTGTGTATCTGTCTTTACTGCCATATATTAATTACAAATAGTATGACCACTGTCTATTTTAATATCAGATGAACAAAATTACTGCACTACTGTGCTTTTTGTCATATATTACAAACTTGAATTTGATTCTGTCACTAGTGAATACTCTGAACTGTAAATCATTAAGTTTCTCATTTGTTATACCTTTCTGGGGGAAAATATGCTAAATCTTAAACTGATTAATTTGATAGTAATTAAAACAAAAAACTCCTATATTTTTTGCAGTTTTATTTATACTGTTGTATTTCTTCCCTCAAGACAATAGTTTTTTAAAGGTGGGGCAGCTTTTTTATGAGAAAACCTAGCTAAAGAGAGTATTTTGTAATGAGCTGCCTTGTTTTCATTGTGCTTTGTAAGCAAGAGAACTGTAGGATCCCCCTTAATTGCCAAGGGATGTTGATGGCTACTCTGCTTTTGCCTTTTTATCAAAATTTTGACTGAACTGTCAATTCTGTTTTTCTTTCAAAGAGGCTAGAGAGTAGTTCCTACTAGCTGCGAAGCCGAAGGAGGAGTTCAGAGGCTGACTGAGAATTGTTAGGAGTGAAGAAAAAAAAATGCCATTTTTCCATTATCTGCTTGATAAAATGCTCTGTAACCCTGCAGCCACTAGCCACATGCACTGTCACCCTGCACAGCTTTCACGTACAGAAAGAAATCAGTGTTCCACCATGTTTTTATTTCTATGAACAGTTTAGGAACACAGAGCTGTTGCCTTTTTCTTTCTCCACAACCCCACAAGAAAAAAGAGAAAAATTCATCTTCATAGTTTTTGGGGGAAGGAGGATGATAAAACCTGAAGACAATTTGAAATATCATATATACTTACTTCCAGATGTTTTTGTTTTATATGGAATTGAGTTGGACTCAGACTCGTTTTTAAGTCTCTGGTAAAAAGATCACTGTCTTATGCATGCCTCAATGGAGAGGAGAATAAGACTCCTGAGACACGTGGGGCCACGAGGGACTGAGGTTGCTAACGTGACCTTTTTTGCCTGATATAGGAATACAAAGTCTCCAGCTGTGAACAGAGACTCATCAGTGAGATCGAGTACAGGCTAGAAAGGTCTCCTGTGGATGAATCAGGTGATGACATTCAATATGGGGACGTATCTGTGGAAAATGCAGTGGCACCATTCTTTGAGATGAAGCTGAAACATTACAAGATCTTTGAGGGAATGCCTGTAACTTTCACATGCAGGGTGACTGGGAATCCAAAGCCAAAGGTAAGCTGAAAACATGGCTTTTTAAGAGTCCTGTTTTCTGTGGAAGTTTAGCTTCCAAAATACAGAGTGGATAACAAAAGGAAGAGATACAGACTACCTTTCTCAGTACCCATGATGTAAAATGTTTGAAGTACTGTTAAGTTCAGGGCCTTCCTCGGGAGGCATTAGGAACCAAAAAGAGTAGAAGGGTAGTTTGAGTTTGAAGACTAGAATAGGAGAATAACAATTAAATAATCGACAAGGAGCTTTTCATACACCTACATCATTTACTCATGTGATGTTATCAATGTCACTCCCAAATTGCAGGTGACTGAACTGAGCTCAGTGAGGTTTAATTAACTTGTCCAAGGTCAGGGAGCTGGTGAGCTGCCAGGCTTGAACACGAACCCCATGCTGTGTACCATACAGAGAAGCAGTCCTTACCATGGATTATAAAAACTTCAGATCAAAGCTTCCTATATTTACAAAGGGCTAGAGGCCGGAATACTGTTGAGAAATGATATTCAAAGGAACTTCTGAAAACTCAGGAGGACTAGACTGACCTAGATGGGAGCCCTCTTCCTACAGACACATGGAAACGGCTGGATAAAGAGTTGCCCAGTCTTTAAAGGGAGGCGAGAATAACTGCTCACTAGTCCAGAAAGCAATAAACAGAATTATACTTTTCCCTATAACTTGGGAGAAAAGAAGAAAAAAGGTGCCTGTGAGAAAGAGAAACTCCATATTCACACTTTCACATGATAGGAAGCCAAAAGCCGCAAAATTAATATGAAATTTAGTCCAGGATGATTAAAATCCTTGTTTCTGGCAGAAACAAGCAAAAACTGCCCCAGAGAACACTCACAAATGTGGGCATATCAAACTTTTGTAGGGTAAGAGGAAGAAGAAATTCACAGTGAAAACTTATAAACTATATAAGAAACAATGATAAAAAGAATCAATAGCAAAAGAAACAAAGGGGCACCTGGGTGGCTCAGTCGTTAAGCGTCTGCCTTCAGCTCAGGTCATGATCCTAGAGTCCTGGAATCAAGTCCGGCATTGGACTCCCTGTTCAGCAGGGTGTCTGCTTCTCTCTCTGCCCTTCATCCCGTTCGTGCTCCCTCTCTCTTTCTCTCTCTCAAATAAAAAATTTTTAAAAAATAAAAAATAAATGAAAGAAATAGAAACTTTAATGAAGAAAAAACCAGGACAGTACCAAAGACCAGGCAAATTTGTAAAATAAGCATATAGAAATGAAAATACACTTACTGAAATTAAGAAGCTTAACAGTGGTGTCAGAAAGAAAGAGTAAAGAAAATAGCCTTAAATTTTCAAATGCATATCTACCTTCTAAGATGAGACTTTTATAATAAAATGTTATTAGAAAAAACTTTATTCTTGGCATAATTTGAATAATTGCTGTGTATTCACAAACATATCAAATTCATGTACTAAAAATAAGTGTGCAGCTTATGAATGAAACTCAACCAGAAACTGTACATTAAGCTTCCAAAATCTTCACAAAGATCCCTTGTTATTTTTAAGTCTTACTCAAGGCTTAAGGTCATTAATTAAGTTCTAAGATCACTAATTCTTTTTAAAGAACACTATGTTCACCTGAAAGATAAGCTGTTGTGTTTAACATAACTTTGCTTTTCTAGTAGGAATTTAAATGTTTCACAGCTTTATGAGGCTTAATTTTTTAAGGATTTTTATTGTTAGATTGTCTTCACTTCTTCCTTCTTCTCTTTCCTCCCTCTTGTCCTCACTGTGGTTCTTTTTCTTCCCTCCCTGGTTTATTGAAGAACCATTTCTTCTGCACATGGTATATAAATTACATTAGGCCTATCTCATACCTATACAGGTATGGGATAGTCATCGTGTTTTTTAAAAAAAAATACATCCTTTTTTTTTTTTTGGCTTATGTTTAAAAAAAACATGTATTCTGCTTCTGACATGCTTGTTCCATATGGGGACATGAGAAGATTGAAAGGAATTTCTAATTCACCCTCTTTTCTTCTCTTGTACCCTCCTCTTCCCTCTCCATTAGCAGGCTTGATAAAATTATTGTGACTATTAGTTAATTCTCATTGGAAAGTTGTATTCCAAGTATAATGGAGGTGAGAAGTATGATTAAAGGGAAGAAACAAGTCTGAAGAACTGGCATGGTGGCAAGAATGCAAAAGGAAGAAACTGTATACTAATCACAGCTTCTTTGTTCCATCAGAAAACATAAAACCACCAAGAAGAGAATGATAATTATGAAGTATCATGCTTACTCTAATTTAATTTTTAGAACTGAGGATTATGAGTCTAGTTGATGATCCATTCTTAGGTTCTGGAGATTAATAATACAGTCTGTAAATTTAGAGCTAATTGAAAAATAGGGAGTTGGAAAATTTTCAGCAGTCAGATCCCAATTATTCATGTGCTTATTTCTAGCCATTCCCTTCTTAGAAATACAAGTTTCAAAGAGGTTTTTCAGATTCAGAGGCTTTCATATAGAGTGGAATTTGAATGCCGGTTGTGGTCTCAATTTGCATATGGATTTACATTAAGGAAGAAGTTCATTTTATTTTTTTAAAGATTTTATTTGTTTATTTGACAGAGGGGCTGAGAGGGAACACAGCAGAGGGAGTGGGAGAGAGCCTCCAGGCTGAGCAGGGAGCCTGATGCGGGGGCTCAATCCCAGGACTCTGAGATCATAACCTGAGTGGAAGGCAGACACTTGCCCACTGAGGCACCCAAAGGAGTTCATTTTAAAAACTGAAGGTTCTAAAGTAGGTTTCTTCTCTTAGGAATTCATTAGGAATGCTTTAGGTTGCCAGGAAAAACAGCTGACAACAAAGAACTTGTTGCGGCTTTAGAAAAGGGGATTTGTTTAGTTCCCAAACCGAAAAGTCTGGAGGGGGTTGATGCAGGCATTAGTTCAGCATCTCAGTCACGTGAGGGCCCCTGGCACTGTGATTCATCATTATGGCCCCATGTCTCAGCTGTCAGAAATAATCACTAAATCATGAGGGATCCGAGGACCAGTGGCTTTATTTAAAGATGAGGGAAGGTAGGAGGACCTATGAAAGAGGTTATTTGACCATTTTAAAATGTGTTACTTAGTCCAGATTTATTTTTACTTTATTCCTCACATTTACTTTTCTATCAAACCAAGTTAAAATATTATTGAAAATTATTGTAAGTTTAAATACTGCTGTTTTCTTTAACATAGCGGGGAGAGAGGACAGACTTTCAGCCTCTGAGCATGTGCTCCTTGGTCCAGAATTAAAGCAGTAGAGCTCCAGCCACCACCAACCCCTAACTGTTGCTCCTTCCTCACTGCCATTTTGTCTAACACAATTCAGGGGAATGGTTGGGCTGGGGTCTGTTATCCCCTAAAGTAACCTTCTTACCTTTGCTTTACAAGTAACGCATTTTACTTCAATACATTTCATTCAGTACATGTGAAAATAGAATCAAAAAGAAAAATGCCTATAGAGCCACTCCAGAACTAACTACTGTCCATGTTCAATATAGATCCCTTCATATAAATAATATTTAAAAAATATGGACTAATATATGAATACCTACTTATATGCATATTTTTAAAATAAATATATAATTTTTTAAAAACTTAAAACAGAATTAAACCTGTATGTTGCCTACTTTTTTCACTCAAAAATCAATTTCCTATTCAGATGTTCTGTTTAACATTTTAACATGAAAATGCTGATCAGCTCTGCAGGCCACACAGTATTTACCAGTCCCCCAGATAGAGTGGTACTACACACATCCTTAATTTTTCATCACTGTTTCCTTTCACAGATCTATTGGTTTAAGGATGGAAAGCAGATCTCTCTAAAGAATGATCACTACACCATTCAAAGAGATCTTGATGGGACCTGCTCTCTCCACACCACAGCCTCCACCCTAGATGACGATGGGAATTACACAATAATGGCTGCAAACCCTCAGGTAAATATTGGGGGTATAGGTCTGGCTTCAGTTCTATGCATAGCCACTACAGGCATATATTTGGAGAAAGGAACTGTTTAATTCAAAGGTAGAATCATATTTCTTTGACTTGAAACTATCTCCCCAAATTCTATATCCATTTTGGTTTTGGAGGATAGAAAGTTCTTTCATTAGTATTTATTCCATCTGGTGTTTTTCACATGACTACTTGCAGTACAGATGTGTTTTCTTCCTAATCTTACTCAGGGCCTAAAAGGTACACTTCTTACACCGGTGGTGGGGTTGCAGTGGTGGACATAACAAAGTCCTGAGATAGAAAATAAGCCAGAAAACACATATATAAAAAATATCATTTCAGATAGGATTAAGTTCTATAGAAAAAAAAAAGGGGGGGAGGAGAAAAGGACAGTGAGTGGCATACATAAATATGCCATAGTAAAAAAATCCTTAAAAAGTAAAATATTTTTAAAAAATATATATACAGTTACTTAATTCAATGGAATTTAAGTATATAAGTATAGACAAATTATAATTTTGATAGCATCTACGTATGGCATTCAGGATTAAGTTTCCATCCAAATGTTTTCTCTTTATTTGTCCTTTGATTTAGTGCCAAAAAACCAGCTGACTACTTAGAATTTAATAGGCAGCTACTCAGGTATCAGGTTTCCAAGTCAAGCCTACAAGTTCTTTTTTGAGTGTCAGGTATGTTTTAGGCACTGTGCTGGGTAGGGATGCAAAGATGATTAAGAAGGGATTTTGTACCTTCAGAGCTCAGTGTATGACAGGGTAATTTTACAAAGTCAGCAGAAGTCATGTAAATAGCACACTAAAAAAAAAAAAAAGCTAAAATTAACAATTTTATTATATAATGAAGATTGTCCAGTCATGCTTTTAAAATCTCTGACCTATTTATATCATTCCATATTTCATTATTTCTTTTGAAGGAAACATGAAGTGTTAGAAAATGATAACAGATAATTTCAGCAAAGCTTACATTAAAAGGCTGTGCAATGTTTATCCTAATATTACATTGTCACATAAACATCTATTTCTGCAATAATACTGAGATCAGAATGAAATTCTAATTATCCACAAATCAGGTTGTCATAGAGCACACCAATCTCTTCACTGTCAACAGTTTCCATATTAAATGTGCACTTTCTTGAGGTTCTAATTTTTCAATCACTGAATATATGACTGTCACCTTGAAAAATAGTCAAAAGCATAACTTTTACTAAAAGTTACATTGTAATACTTACTTGTGTTCATGGTTGGAGGATTTGAGGGAAAAGAAGTGGAACTTGCTTTTTTCTTTCTTATTGTATTATCAGTATATACCCTTGACTATTACTAACAAATATCAATTTTCAGTTTTCTGCCTACTAAAATAAAGTGGAGAACTCAACAAAATTCAAAATTTTTTTCAAATTTTTTCTTCATGCTAGGTCCTTTATTCCCCTTTCCCCTAGAAAGTTTGTAATATATTATAAGAGATCAAATTAACTGTGTTCCTTAAGCACTTGCCAATCCTGGTCCTGATGTTAATTTTGAGGCATATTTCCTTGTGAATGTTTTAAACTGTTATGGAGTCAGTGGTTTTCTAGAACAAAGACCATAAATGTAAGATTACAATTTTAAGTCTGCTTCTAGTCTTCTTCAAATTATACTAATGTAGTTTTACATGTGGAAAAGTTCTAAACAGGGAGGGACTCCACTGGCTATGAGCAGAGTTGGCAACTGCATGCCAGCCCCTGAGCACTGAAACTATTGACAGGTTATGTATGATGAAGTCATTAGATGAAGGAGAGCTGCTGAAGTTCTCGTTTTGGAAAACAGAAGATGGGGAAGGGAAAGAAAGAAAAAGAATGAAATGACACAACAAAGGCCAGAAATGCAGAACAGTACTGGTGCTAATGAAAAGCCTAAGTGTACACATGTAGTTCAGGGGTTAAGAAAATGAACTTTGAAATCAGACAGATCTGAGTTGAATTTCTGCCTCTGCCACTCACCACCCATGTGACCTTTAGCAAGTCACCTAACCTCTCTGTGCCTCTTTCCCCTTCTATGAAATGAGAATAATCCTAGGGAATCAAATAATGCACTCGGTTTACCTGACATGTAATATGCTTACAGTAAAAGCTCGTTATTGTCATTTAATTCAGAGACTCTAATAACCCTGTCTTAAAGCAGCAGCCCTAATAGTGGGCAGAAGCCTTTGGAATCAGGATGTAAAGGATGGTTCTATTTCTAGATATTCCAGTCCTACTGTTAGAGTAAGCAAGTCAGTTCAGGATGGAGCTTCTACCCAACATGTTGCTGGTGTGTGGTCTTCTGACCTCCTGGTTTTTCCTTCTTATCACCCCCATGGGAAAGGAGTTAGTTAGGCAGCAGACGTGGCTGTGCCACAACTGCCCCAGCTGTGGACTTGGGTGGAGGGTGAGCTGGAGAGAGGCCACACCCAAAGCACAGCTGACAGGAGCCACACAGGAAGCTGGGAAGTTGCTTTGCTCCCAGCACACCCAGGACCAAGGAAGGCCCAAAAGAGAGTTGTCAGTGCCCTCATTCCAGTCCCTGGAGTTCTGCTGCTTTACCAAATCCCAGGATATGTCCCAAAGTTAACCCTCTCTCATTCTTGGCCTCTACCCTTGGAAGAGAAGACAAAGAAATGAAAAGTGGACCAGTTTATATCAGGTAGCCAGGCTCTTCTCACAGAATATCCTATGTGATTTCAGCAAACAGTAATATGACTGCTTTGGGTCTGTCAGAGGTCACAGAAACCAAAGCAGTGCCAAAACCTAGAATCCCAACTGTCTCTCAAGGGTAGCTGATCCAGCCAGTATTCTAATTAAAGAGGGTAAAACTACATCATGTCTCCTTTTCTACCTAAATGAGCAAAGGCAGGCATTGGAGGGGAAACTTGTGAAGAGAATCTGAGGAAATCCTAAAAGTGGGCATGCAGACCTCAGATGGAAATTGCTGCGAGAGAATTTTTATATTTATGGTACTTGATATTAATTACTATTCCAAGTTTCAGCATGTTGCCTGGTTGATTTTAGTTTCACGAACAGAACTCCTGCTCTCTCCTGGCATCTTCAGTAGCAGGTATATATCCAGATGGAGGTTTTGTGGGCTGTCACCTAAAAATTGGGACAGACTGTACTACCCATTAGAAAGATAAGAGGTATTTGAACCATGACAAACAGACCATTTTTTTTAACCTAATACTTGATGTAAGTTATCATTTGTGGCTTCCAGGAATACCATAATAGAAATGTTTTAACAGTTTTAAACTCTATGTTACTAGATATTAAAGTATTTTGCCATTCTTGTAATTTGTGAAGTAAAACATGATTTGAGGGGCACCTGGATGGCTTAGGTCATGATCTCAGGGTCCTGGGATGGAGCTCTGCATCTGGCTTCCTGCTCAGCAGGGAATCTGCTTGTCCCTCTGTCCTTCCCTCCCCACTCATGCTCACTCATGCCCACGTGGCCCTCTCTTTCTCACGCTCATAAATAAATAAAATTTTTTTAAAAAAAATATGATTTAAAGAAGCATGATATAAAAGTCAAAGCTGAATTTTTTAGGATACGTTAATCCCAAAAGTGTAACATACAGTAAAAAAAAAAAAACAAAAAAAAAAACTTGAGTTCCTGGTCCTTGATGCCCTTTGGTTACCTTAAACTTTTTTCACATTTTAAATGTATTTGGTTTGAAAGGGAGACAACTCCATCTATTTTTTCTGGTACACTGTAGTGTACATGATGTGAAATGACCAAGGGAAAGAGGAAAAGGCTGGAGTGGAAAAATGAGTTCAGTAATGAAACACAGACGGCAGAGCTTTTCTGAGCAGTGGAAAGTAATTAGAGAGAGCAGCCAAGAGAAAGGGTGAGAACCAAGGAAAGAGAATACCAAAGTTCAGCAGAATATTTTACAGAATATTTTTCCACCTGGGTTCATCTTTTGGGAATAAGAAACACATTAGATACCGCTGACTGAATCCAAATTCGACTTGGGATGGAACACACAGCTCTAAACATGCACTGGCCACCATGTGTCACACTCAGTGTGTGCTATGAGGGCAGTTCCTGAGGGACCAAAGCAGTCACATAGCTGAGTGAAATAATGAGTGATTATGCAGTGTTCCACCACACATAATGCCAAAATGAGGATCAAAAATGTGGTTTTAGACTCTGATCCTATCTTGAAGACACAACTAAATCTAAACATGAATGTTTTACTTTGTTTTGTTGTGTTGCTAAGTTACTCTGTGCTGCACTTGGAGTTTGGAAGGGCTGTTTTGCAACTTGATGTTCCTCAAGTTGCATTATGTATACAAGTGGCAAACTTTTATAAAGACCTGTGTGCCACAAATTTCATAAGCTAGGAAATATAAATGTTATTTCCATATTATATAAATAATTGGCCTTGCATGAAGCATAAATAATCTTTACAAGCTGGATGTTTAAAACATAATTCTTCACTTTAAGAATTCAAACTTATTACTTGTTCTATGGCTTTAAACTCTGTGGATTTGTTTGGAAGAGAAAAGTAACACACAGCTGAATTAAATTTAAGAAGTGGGTTTGCTTGTGTTTTGTTGTAGCATTAGGAGGTTTCCTGGCTCATTTCAAACTTCAAACATTCACTTCCATTCTTCCTTCACATGTTAATAATAAAGTAGATCGAAATGAGAAAGTTAAAAGCAAAGGCAACAGCACTAATGTGCATCAGAGCCTAGTCACAACAATTACTAGGATTAATTGGCACATTAGCATGATTAAAATTTTGTATGACCGTCATAAGATGTCCAGACTTAAAAATCTGAACTTTAAGTTGTGTATATCTTTTCAAAAGTGTTTCACTGAATTCTGGGGATCCCCCCCCCCAATAAAAAGTCAAAATTATACAACTTGTTAGTTTAGAAAGCTTTCTAAATGCTCCTGGTCATTTACTGGTTAGTAATGTATATTTAGCCAATATCACCGTATTATCAAACTAATAGTTCTGCCTCCCGAAGATCATGCCTTTCCCTTTTATGCTCAGAAGTGAAATGTGTAGGAGTTAAAAAGGTAACAAACAGCGACATATTCCTTTTTCTTAAATTTGAGTAAAGATATTCTGTGGCAATATTTGTGTATGTGGTTCTAGACAGCAGCAATAAAAATGAAAACATTGTAGAAATGTGTAATCTTTGAAGAGCAGTATGCCAACACCTTTGACCCTATTTTTTGGAGAGGGAAGAGGAGTCAGATTTATCTAAACTAAGCAGAGTCTAATGGTTAGAGTTGAGTAGGACCTTTTCTCTTGCGCGTCAATTGTAGCCATTACATAATGAACACAGTGAATATACCAGTGTGCCTGACACCTTTCAAGCAATAGCATACATTTTTCCTTTGGAGTAAATTATATCCTAATACCAAAAGAAAGAAAGAAAGAAAAAGAAAACCCCACTGCATATGAAAAAAAATTGTTTTTAAAACAATTGTAAGGGATGCTTCATGTCCATCTGGTTGTTACTATAATTATGTCGATATTCAGAGCTATAAGAACATTTTGAATGTTTACTATGTGCAAAACACAAGACTAAGTATTTTATACCTATTAACTCATTTAATCTTCATAAGAACCCATGCAAGATTGATTAACTATATGATCCTATTTTATAGATAAGGAAACTCACTTAGGAGGTTAAATTACCTACCTAATGTCACTCATTAAAAGGGACAGACCTGGGGCACCTGGGTGGCTCAGTGGGTTAAAGCCTCTGCCTTTGGCTCAGGTCATGATCCCAGGGTCCTGGGATCGAGTCCCGCATCGGGCTCTCTGCTCAGCAGGGAGCTTGCTTCCCAATCTCTCTCTCTGCCTGCCTCTCTACTTGTGATCTCTGTCAAATAAATAAAATCTTTAAAAAAAAAAAGGGGACAGACCTGGTTTACAAACCTAGACTGACTCCAGAGCTAAGGAGGGTCATCAAAGGTAACTAGGGCTCATCCCAGCGTTAAGACCACTGAGGGGCAGGGGAGACAGTCATTAAAAGAGGCATTTGAAGGAATCAAAAAAGGAGGTAAGAGCATACTCAGGCAAGGTTAACCACTTGGGTGAAATTTACTGGAGTAAATCTGACACCAACCAAGGTGTCAGGACCCCTAAAAATTATCTTGATGCATGTCTGTGCACACATGTCCAGTAAAACCATACCCATAATAAGTAGCGATAATTTATATCATCAAGATCTATTTGATATTTGGAAGATAAAGACCATCTTAGGTTGTATCATTGAAACTTTACAACATCTGTGTGAGACAGATACAGTGCCCTGGTTTTTACAGAAGAAGAAACAAAGGCTTCAACAAATTTGGTTATTTGCCCCCAAAGTCTTAGGAAAGTCAAAACTGAAGTCCAGATTAGAGAAAAATTTTTTATCTGCTTCCCCAAATTCAAGGTTAAAGGCTGAATTTAACTTACATCTTTTTCTAACCACAGAAATGATTAGTTGATGTTAACTTCCCTCGTGGATCTGCTGGGTTTTAAACCACAAGGAAAAATCTTCCAAATTATATAAATCTATTTTAATCTATCTAGATTAATCTATCTAGATTAAAATGATTTGCTTAAGTAGCAAAGCAAATAGTAAAGAAGCCATATCCCATATCACTAGAATTTTGAAGCTATTTGTGTGAAACAAAACATAAGATTCCCCTGTCTTTAGCCCCCAAAAGAATCATGGATCTTACATGTTCACTTGTTAAAGCAGCTGCTATGATGCATCAGTTGGGTAATTTAACAGGGGTCTCCCAAGCAAGTCATGTCTAGATTTTTTGTAGCAGGCATTTAGACAGGCTAGATGAAATTAATTTCCAGATTTCAGGCTAGCTTAGGGGGACTTCCAAGTGTTTGCCAAGAGCTTAGCATGAGAGAATATACATCATGTGGCCTGAACTTTAGATAGAACAAATCTAAATTAGAAATATTCCCCCTCATAATGGTATAATTTGTGTGTCCTTGGAAATTTCAAGAAAGGCAGTGTTTAAATATGACCTCAGTAGCAAATACTGTGAATGCTAGAGGAGGTTACATATCTAATGGGATAAGACTACTTGTTTTCTTTATGACCTCCTCTTTCTATTCGACAGTTCCCAATTCTCCTGTCTGTGTTACAGCACTATGTGTCTTTGCCTTTTTGGAGTGGTTAAGGCCCCTTTTCAGAGTGGTTAAGGCCCCAAAGAAGTCCAGGCTGGGGGGAGACTGTACAGCCCTCCCGACTGGATTCCTGCCCTCCACCAAATGCTGCTATGGGGTTTCTCTGTGTCCCCTCCACCACCATGCTCCCTTACCCCAGTTCACACTCAGGTGGAACTCAGCAGTTCCTCAAAATATACAGAGCAGTTGTGCTTCTGTTACTTGTCTATACTGGAAACTTGGCAAAATGAGAGTTATTGGTAAATTTAGACTATAAGTGCACCTGAGGGCGGCTCATCTACTGTGAGCTAGAAATCCCTAAGTCTAATCATTAATAACCTGCTTTCTCAGTTTTCCTCTCTTGCTGTTCCCTCTGGCCATCAACAGAATTTAGACATACAACTGCTCACATCCTCCTGGGATATAAGAGGAGAAAATCATCTATTTTGCTGCTTTGCTAGTAATAGGGGAAAAAAATAAAGGGGCTAAAACAAAATGCCAGAGTAACAATGGTGATTTATTCATATCATCTGAGTACACTATTTTGTCTATCCTAGGACAGCATTTATATCAGTTTTCAATTTAAGAGATAAAACCTGAAAGATAAAATATAGCTTTTCATTAGATAGGCTCACATCATATGACCCACATATTTTAGATACCTCATTACTTCTGGTTTTTAAATCATGACTATGCTCATTTCATTGGAACATGGTAACCTGTAGTCATTTACTCTCCTTGTCGTCCCCATGCGTACGTCTCATGTAATGTTCATTTCATCACGCTTGCATCTCTTTTAATATATGGTTTTTAGAAGGAATACTATTAACCTTTAATATACTAACATTTAATATATGTTAGTATATTTAATATATATGTATTACAAAAAATGTCAGAAAACTAAAATCATCTCGTTTGATTTCAGAATTAGCTATAACCAATAGGTATTTGACCATGATAATGGGATTACTGCAAGACAATTAATGTCCTTCTGCTATGTTTTATAATTCAACTTCATGTGTTAGGAAGACCGCAGCAGATTATAACTAATTCAGTAAGGGCTGTCATTTTAAAAACCATTCTAGATAGAATAGGAAGGTTTTTTTAATGGTTCAAAGAAAGACCTAGTCACCCAGTTCTTTAAATAAATATGGAGTTTACTGATGAGTTTAATTCAGGGAAAATACATTTCTGAGAGGGGTTGGTGTCATTACTAATATGGCATATCGGTTTGTTAAGAACTGATGTCTTGGGGCGCCTGGGTGGCTCAGTGGGTTAAGCCTCTGCCTTCAGCTCAGGTCATGATCTCAGGGTCCTGGGATCGAGCCCCGCATCGGGCTCTCTGCTCAGCGGGGAGCCTGCTTCCCCCCTCTCTCTGCCTGCCTCTCTGCCTCCTTGTGATCTCTCTCTCTCTCTCTCTCTCTCTCTCTCTGTGTGTGTCAAATAAATAAATAAAATCTTTAAAAAAAAAAAAAAACTGATGTCTTGTAGAGAACAGGACAGTAAACATGGTGTGTAGTGGTTAGCTGTTTTGCATGGCAAGTCATGTCTTTTCCTGCTGTCTCTCTGCCAGGGCCGAATCAGTTGTACTGGACGCCTAATGGTACAGGCCGTCAACCAAAGAGGTCGCAGTCCCCGCTCTCCCTCAGGCCATCCTCATGTCAGAAGGTATGTGACACGTTCCTTCCTGTAGGTGTTACTGCTATTTTTAGTTATTACTACAGATTCAACACTATTAGAATCATGGTATGACCACAAAACAGTGAACATAAAAGACAGAAGAATGCGAATATGGTCTTAAGGTGTACACACTGCCTGGGTCCTTGATTATTCTGTTCCGTTCTGATTCAGAAAAGAGAAAGGAATAAACAGTTGGTAAGGTCACTGGGCCCAGGTAAATATACTATCACTAATTTGTTACATAGGACCCAGTTTGTATATGAAGACATCAAAGCTCAACACCTTTAAATGGCAGGCACGGGAACATGAAAATACTAGTAAATGGTACACAAACATTCAAACCAAACTTCTCCAGCCAGCAGCTGTCTAGCCATGACAAATTACTGCCACTAGATTTCTTAAAATCCGCTAATTTGCTAATGTTCACTTTTTAGTCACTTAGTTCAAAACAGTTTAGATGACAATTTTGGAGCTAAGAAGTTCCCTATTTTAAATGCTCAGTAAGTACTTGCTAACAATAGTGTGTGCTTTCTTTCTTTCTTTTTTTTTTTTTAAAGATTTTATTTATTTATTTGACAGAGATCACAAGTAGGCAGAGAAGCAGGCAGAGAGAGAGGAGGAAGCAGGCTCCCCGCAGAGCAGAGAGCCCGATGCGGGGCTCGATTCCAGGACCCTGGGATCATGACCTGAGCCGAAGGCAGAGGCTTTAACCCACTGAGCCACCCAGGCGCCCCTAGTGTGTGCTTTCTATTCCGAATCGCCCTGAGCTTATGCAAGGATGCTGACGGAGTAATACTAGGCAGGGACGAGAAAAGGGTATCGCTTCCTAGTAACATATTTGCACTTAAGAAACTATGGTAAGTCACCCGGTCTGTCATCTTGGGCTCCTGTTTAGATATTTTACAGAGCCTGTTTCAGTAGCCCTGACTGTAAACTGCAGGCCACAGATGCTAAGTTAGGCTCACAGAAGGTCAGCCAGAAACACTGAGGAAGCACCAAGCCAGTGATCTGTCTACACCTCACGTGACTGGACGCACAGCCCTTTGCTCAGCACTTTGGAAGACAGTTCTGATACCTAAACACATGGGGGCTTAATACTCTAACTTGTTTGTTCACAAGAACCAAGGATTGTGTGTATGGCTATAAACATAACGTGTTTAGTAGCAGATCCATTCTCTTGCATTATTTTCTTCTGCTTTTCTTGTGTCTTTAGTACTTTTAAGCTTTTCCATGTGTGTCTCCTAGAAAAGCATTCTGCTCAGAAATTAGATCTGTACTTGAACAGTAACCTATATAATTGGTATTATAGTTGGTATATAGTTGGTAATTATTAGCCTGTTATACTGATCTTTCATTTGTTCTACTCTTTTTCTAGTTAAATGTTTTTACACTTCTCTTCTAGTGATTAGTGACAGAATTTATGTTCGTTATCTTGTTCCTTCCACTTCTCTTCTAGTGATTAGTGACAGAATTTATGTTCGTTATCTTGTTCCTTCCTTACATCTTCCCTGCAATTACTTTAAAATGGTGTTGCTCTGGGGGCTGCCTGGGTGGCTCAGTGGGTTAAGCCTCTGCCTTCGGCTCAGGTCCTGATCTCAGGGTTCTGGGATTGAGTCCCGCATTGGGCTCTCTGCTGGGCGGGGAGCCTGCTTCCTCCTCTCTCTCTCTCTCTCTGCTTGTGATCTCTCTCTCTGTCAAATAAATAAAAAATCTAAAAAAAAAAAAAAAATGGTGTTGCTCTGAAAGGTGTATCTAGCAACATATTCAAAAGCAAGAGAGATGCACAAAATCTGGGAGATTTGCACAATTTTAAAGATAAAAAATATAATTTGTTTTCTTGGTTTGTATAAAAGGAATTTTGATTAGAAAGATGAAATTTTTACAAAATAATAAATTTTAATTTCCTAAAAATTTCAAATCACAGTGGAAAGTTATACTTTTTGTTGGAAAAGATTTGGTAATAAATGAGCAACAGCTGCTGCTATTTCTCATACAGCTTTCAAAAATACTTAAGAAAAAAATAGGTAAATATAGAGTATTTCATTTTTTCCCATCTCTTTTATGATTTATATTAGCTTTAAGGATTAGGATAGAATTATTTAAGTTCTCTAAATAGCAAACTATTAATTTCATAATTAAACTTTCAAATAAAACAAGATTTTGCTGGCTTTTCTGACTTTATGTGTGAACTTTAGGAGTAGGAATCAGATAAAGAAATTGTATTATTACTGTATGTATTATTAAAAATATCAAGAACCTGATAATAATAACTTCTATCTCCCTCTCTCCCCCTGCCCCATTGTGCCTTCCTTTCCTTCCATCTTTCTGTTTATTATGTCTTGTCCTAAGGCCTCGTTCTAGATCAAGGGACAGTGGAGATGAAAATGAACCAATTCAAGAACGATTCTTCAGACCTCACTTCTTGCAGGCTCCTGGAGATCTAACAGTTCAAGAAGGAAAGCTCTGCAGAATGGATTGTAAGGTAAGAGTGTGTTAATGCCTACAAATCTCTTGTCTCTCTTTCCCCCCTTACTGTAATTTCTCTTGAGTTCCTTTTAAGGAAATTACGTAAGGTGTACATCTTTAAAATGTTTCCAGGGGCACCTGGGTGGCTCAGTGGGTGAAAGCCTCTGCCTTCAGCTCAGGTCATGATCTTAGGGTCCTGGGATCAAGCCCCGCATGGGGCTCTCTGCTCAGCAGGGAGCCTGCCTCCCCCTCTCTCTCTGCCTGCCTCTCTGCCTATCTGTGATCTCTGTCTGTCAGATAAATAAATAAAATCTTTAAAAAAATAAAAAAGTAAAAAATAAAATGTTTTCAGCCTACAAGAAAAAAAAAAAAAGAGTGACATATACTGGATGTTTATATACTGTTTTGTCATTCTTTTCCTTTACATTGAAATTTTTATTAAATGTATTCCTTATTTAGAACTGCACATACCATACCGTACACAGTCACTGAGAGGTTTTTTTCCCCTTTAAGTTTACCATTTTGTTGAAGTGATAAAAGTGTTAAATCTGTCATGTCCTAATAATTAATTCATTTATTTTCGTAATTTTTTCAAATAAATTTTGTAGCCATGTATCTACTCTCTTATTCCTCCCATTTCAAAAAGCAGTTAGAGAGACATCCTCTCTTTCCCATTTCGGAGCAGGGCTGCTTAACCCAGGGCCTTTGGGTAGGCAGGTTTCACTAGGTGTTGAGTTCTGCAACTGCATATAAAATTACGTGTATGATATAGCTTTCATCAGTTTCTCAAAGGAGCTCAAGACCATAAATGTTAAATAACCACTGCTGTGAATTTTTTTTGTTTTGGTTTTTTTGCCCCATTATCTAGTGATCCTAAATTTTAGTTCTTAAATATGGGTAAGGTTTTTAAAATTTGGGCTCCCTCTGCTGGTTTTCTCTGGGATTGCAGAACACAAATATATGATGCTTGGAGGATTAAATCTGGGCTTACAGAAATTTATATTTTAAAAACAGTACTCTTGGGGTACCTGGGTGGCTCAGTTGGTTAAGTGTCTGCCTTTGGCTTGGGTCATGATCCCAGGGTCCTGGAATCGAGCCCGGGGTCATTCTGCTTACTCAGCGGTGAGCCTACTTCCTCCTCCTCTGCCTGCCATTCCCCTTGCTTGTGCGCTCTAATAAATAAAATCTTTAAAAAAAAAAAAAAAAGTACTCTTAACAAAAGTATTTTATTTTCCAACATAATTCTTTTTATAGTATAAGCACAAAAATTGAGTTTCAGCATATGTGTATTTTTACATCTTCCCTGCAATTACTTTAAAATGGTGTTGCTCTGGGGGCTGCCTGGGTGGCTCAGTGGGTTAAGCCTCTGCCTTCGGCTCAGGTCCTGATCTCAGGGTTCTGGGATTGAGTCCCGCATTGGGCTCTCTGCTGGGCGGGGAGCCTGCTTCCTCCTCTCTCTCTCTCTCTCTGCTTGTGATCTCTCTCTCTGTCAAATAAATAAAAAATCTAAAAAAAAAAAAAAAATGGTGTTGCTCTGAAAGGTGTATCTAGCAACATATTCAAAAGCAAGAGAGATGCACAAAATCTGGGAGATTTGCACAATTTTAAAGATAAAAAATATAATTTGTTTTCTTGGTTTGTATAAAAGGAATTTTGATTAGAAAGATGAAATTTTTACAAAATAATAAATTTTAATTTCCTAAAAATTTCAAATCACAGTGGAAAGTTATACTTTTTGTTGGAAAAGATTTGGTAATAAATGAGCAACAGCTGCTGCTATTTCTCATACAGCTTTCAAAAATACTTAAGAAAAAAATAGGTAAATATAGAGTATTTCATTTTTTCCCATCTCTTTTATGATTTATATTAGCTTTAAGGATTAGGATAGAATTATTTAAGTTCTCTAAATAGCAAACTATTAATTTCATAATTAAACTTTCAAATAAAACAAGATTTTGCTGGCTTTTCTGACTTTATGTGTGAACTTTAGGAGTAGGAATCAGATAAAGAAATTGTATTATTACTGTATGTATTATTAAAAATATCAAGAACCTGATAATAATAACTTCTATCTCCCTCTCTCCCCCTGCCCCATTGTGCCTTCCTTTCCTTCCATCTTTCTGTTTATTATGTCTTGTCCTAAGGCCTCGTTCTAGATCAAGGGACAGTGGAGATGAAAATGAACCAATTCAAGAACGATTCTTCAGACCTCACTTCTTGCAGGCTCCTGGAGATCTAACAGTTCAAGAAGGAAAGCTCTGCAGAATGGATTGTAAGGTAAGAGTGTGTTAATGCCTACAAATCTCTTGTCTCTCTTTCCCCCCTTACTGTAATTTCTCTTGAGTTCCTTTTAAGGAAATTACGTAAGGTGTACATCTTTAAAATGTTTCCAGGGGCACCTGGGTGGCTCAGTGGGTGAAAGCCTCTGCCTTCAGCTCAGGTCATGATCTTAGGGTCCTGGGATCAAGCCCCGCATGGGGCTCTCTGCTCAGCAGGGAGCCTGCCTCCCCCTCTCTCTCTGCCTGCCTCTCTGCCTATCTGTGATCTCTGTCTGTCAGATAAATAAATAAAATCTTTAAAAAAATAAAAAAGTAAAAAATAAAATGTTTTCAGCCTACAAGAAAAAAAAAAAAAGAGTGACATATACTGGATGTTTATATACTGTTTTGTCATTCTTTTCCTTTACATTGAAATTTTTATTAAATGTATTCCTTATTTAGAACTGCACATACCATACCGTACACAGTCACTGAGAGGTTTTTTTCCCCTTTAAGTTTACCATTTTGTTGAAGTGATAAAAGTGTTAAATCTGTCATGTCCTAATAATTAATTCATTTATTTTCGTAATTTTTTCAAATAAATTTTGTAGCCATGTATCTACTCTCTTATTCCTCCCATTTCAAAAAGCAGTTAGAGAGACATCCTTTCTTTCCCATTTCGGAGCAGGGCTGCTTAACCCAGGGCCTTTGGGTAGGCAGGTTTCACTAGGTGTTGAGTTCTGCAACTGCATATAAAATTACGTGTATGATATAGCTTTCATCAGTTTCTCAAAGGAGCTCAAGACCATAAATGTTAAATAACCACTGCTGTGAATTTTTTTTGTTTTGGTTTTTTTGCCCCATTATCTAGTGATCCTAAATTTTAGTTCTTAAATATGGGTAAGGTTTTTAAAATTTGGGCTCCCTCTGCTGGTTTTCTCTGGGATTGCAGAACACAAATATATGATGCTTGGAGGATTAAATCTGGGCTTACAGAAATTTATATTTTAAAAACAGTACTCTTGGGGTACCTGGGTGGCTCAGTTGGTTAAGTGTCTGCCTTTGGCTTGGGTCATGATCCCAGGGTCCTGGAATCGAGCCCGGGGTCATTCTGCTTACTCAGCGGTGAGCCTACTTCCTCCTCCTCTGCCTGCCATTCCCCTTGCTTGTGCGCTCTAATAAATAAAATCTTTAAAAAAAAAAAAAAAAGTACTCTTAACAAAAGTATTTTATTTTCCAACATAATTCTTTTTATAGTATAAGCACAAAAATTGAGTTTCAGCATATGTGTATTTATTTTTGGTCTATAATTAAGAATCCATACAAACCACCTATAAAATAACATTGAGTCAACAGGGGAAATTTTATTTTAGATTATTAGATGATACCAAGGGATATTATGCTGTGTACAAAAAGCATCTTAAAAATTACATTTTTTTAGGGGCACCTGGGTGGCTCAGTGGGTTAAAGCCTGTATTTTCGGCTCAGGTCATGATCCCAGGGTCCTGGATTGAGCCCCACATCGGGCTCTCTGCTTTACAGGGAGCCTGCTTCCTCCTCTCTCTCTCTCTGCCTACTTGTGATCTCTGTCAAATAAATAAATCTTTTTTTAAAAATTACATTTTTTAGAAAAAAATTGTCAGTATAAGCTTTAAGAAGAAAAAAAAATCATGAAAATAAGCCTTTCACTAAAGCAACAGATAGATTTCCCCCCAAAAAAGCACTCCCCTGCCTTTTAACCTGTTAGGTACATTCCCTTGACTTGGTACTAAGTGCTAAGCGAAAATAACTAATCCAACTTCGATAGTAACAAATCTGCTCATCTGCCTCCTCCCAATTCCGTATCAGCTGAGAGCATGCTTCTGTTCAAGGTATGACCTGCTTACAATGACCTTAGATTCCTGAAACCAGGCTTGCTTTCTTTACACAATCAGAAGGGCTGGAATTCGAATCAGGGTAGAAAAACCCGGCCTTTTCCCTTTGCTTGATTGTGATTAAGTCTGTCCACTGGCATATGTGCACTGTGAATTAGGTGGGCTGAGTGCACAGCGCCTTGAGCAATTCTCCTCCTGCACACACCTTGGCTTTGGCCAGGATCTAATCTAAATTATCTAATAATTAGTATAATATTAGTATAATATAATTTAATATATTATTTTATTAATATAATAAAATATTAATAAAAAATAAAAAATATATATAATATATATTATATATAATAAATAAAATATAATAAAAAATATAATTAGTATAATATAATAATAATTAGTATAATAATAATCTAATCTAAAAGGTGGGAACAAACAGTGCCATTTCATTTCTAAACCTGGGAAAGGCCTAGAGCCTGACCAGAGAGAGGTGTGGATTCCCTCTTCCTCCTTACCACCTCTAGTGATCTCCAAACAGGTGAAGCAGTGAACGTGGAGAGCTGGGGGAGAGCCCGTACACAGAGGGGAGGACAGAGAGGCTGACCTTCTCAATAGCCAAGCTAACTACTGCTGTCTTTGTTTCCAACATGTCTTCATCCTTTTAACCAGTAATTTTACTTATTTTTTTCTCCCTAAAATTCTCAAGACCTTTGTTACATGTACGGAGAGAGGCATCTTGTAGGTAATATAAATGAGTATCACACAACAAGAATGGAATTTGGCAGAGCTGGGTTTTCAAAAGAATTACAGTCCAACTGACATCTTTTTGTATGAGATTTCCTACTAGTAAATTTGGGATGACGGGGGGGGGGGGGGGGGAAGCTTTCCTTAATGGTGTTTTTCTTCCCTTTCACAATCAAGGGCAAAACTATAAAGAGCTGACAGATGGTAACCATCCCTACCCTTCACAGCACAATGTGTTATTAGCAATTAAATGTGCTTTTTAATCTGATCTCTGGTCAACACAACTGCCGTGGTCTCAGGATTTTATGTTTCCATTGTGATGCTAATTTGTTGAGATGGTTTTCTGGGTAATTTCATATTGCTCTTGTTACTTAGTTTCAAGGATTATAAAATAGTAATAATAGCTCTGTGTGCTTATGGATGCATTAACTGATGTCTCCATAGCTATGGCAACCCTCTGATAACAAGCTTTATAGCGTATACATGCCAGTTGAGTAAGCGTTGTTATTGTGGTTGGACACCTTTTCCCAGAGAGCTCAGAGCCCTGTGCTGACATCATCCCCGGAATCTTTATGACCCTGGGTGAGGTAAGACAAGAACAGAAATCTTTAAAATCCGCATTTTACTTTTCTCTGGGTTGCTCTACAAGGGGTGTTTAGAAGTAACGCCATGATTGCTTAAGAAGCCATTGAAAGGTTTAAGCAAAAGAACAACACAAGCTGACACTAAAAGCCATCTCTTGTACTACCAAAGGAGGAATTTATGGTGGTTTCTTAGCTATTAGTGATTCCATTTTGTTTCAGTATTACAGAAATTTGTATGTTCCTTTCTGGTTTAGGTCAGTGGGTTACCAACCCCAGATCTAAGCTGGCAACTAGATGGAAAACCTATACGCCCCGACAGTGCTCACAAGATGCTCGTGCGTGAGAATGGGGTGCACTCCCTGATCATAGAGCCAGTGACCTCACGAGATGCCGGCATCTACACGTGTATAGCCACCAATCGAGCAGGACAAAACTCATTCAGCCTGGAGCTTGTGGTTGCTGGTAAGCAAGTCTGTGAATTTTTTTCTCTCAGAATGAATTATCAGATTCAAAAATGTAAATTAATCCTACATTATTAACCAATATGGAAAATAAATCAAACTGCTGAAAAAACAGATTGTATCATCAAAACAGCCAATTAGAACATAAGGCTTATTAGCAAATCAGAAACATTAGGGTTTTTTTTCAGTGTAGCCATCATTTTTCCTATCTCCCATTAGCCTGGCTGAGAGAGGAATTTAGCAGCTGTTCTGAGTCATTCTATTCTCATGTGTGTTGGCCTCCTAAGTTACATAAAGAGCAATGGTATCATGGATTCCATAACCAAACTTGATATATATAAGAATTTGCTCATGGGGCGGCTGGATGGCTCAGCGGGTTAAAGCCTCTGTCTTCCGCTCAGGTCATGATTCCAGGGTCCTGGGATTGAGCCCAGCATCACGCTCCCTACTCAGCGGAGCCTGCTTCCTCCTCTCTCTCTCTCTCTGCCTGCCTCTCTGCCTACTTGTGATCTCTGTCAAATAAATAAATAAATAAATCTTTAAAAAAATAATAGTAATTTGCTCATGCATAAAGTTCTGCCTACTTTTTAAAGTAATGTGCAGTGGTGTCAAAATTTAGAAATTTGAAATGTTATCATCTACCCCAAGTGTCATAGTCAAATTCAGATTTGCTTTTTAATGAATTATAATTTTAGGTAAATTTTGTAAAATTATATATAATGTATAAAATCTTACCCTTAGATAAGGTTTATAACACCCTTAGAAGCTGAGCATAAGTAAGAGTCTGTTAACTGTTCTCTTTTAAAAAAGAATGTTTATTACTTATACCTCTGTTTGCAGAGTGCTTCATTTATATTATCTCAGCTGGTCCTCACAAAAGCCCTCCAAGATAATTGGAAGAAATTTCCCTCATTTTACAGGTGTGGAAGCTAGAGTAAGTGACTTTCCCTGGGCCCTATTCTGTAAAGTGAGGGCCAGAGGCCAGACTCACATAGTTTGTTGACTCCCAGTACTCCTCCCCACACTGAGCCACTGCTCTCTCAGGAAAAAGAGTAGCCGTGAGAATAAAGCTCAGGAGGTCCTGGCTAAAATCCTAGATAACGATTCTAATAAAAGTACCAGGACATTTTTACACATAACTGTCAAACACCCAGGCTGTTGTGTTAACCATGCTTTCAAATTTTACATCAGGTATTCGATATTCCTACACAACTAGAATCAATTTCATCCAACCCACTAAACATCCCTCTTCCAGCTAAAACTGTTCAGCATTCTGCTGTCGACTGTTCCCTTTGATCCTATCTCCCCTTCAGGACTGAGACGTGAAGGTCTGAGAGACACAGGCATCTTGGTCTGTGCTCAGTCAGCACTTGCACTGGAAAGGGGGCAGAGGGCACAGTAATTAGAAGCCTCACGTCTTTGGCATCAACTCTCGGTTCCAAGCCCAGCTCTCCTGTATTAGCTATGTCTTTTGGCAAATAGAGAACATCTCTGCAGCTCGGTTCCCCCATATGTAAGATAGGGGCCATAAGGTGTCACAGTTTGTAAGGACTGTGTCATTTTGTAAGGTTTAAATTGTAGGAAGCTCTGCATCACCACCAGCACAGCAGTGCTCCAAAATGGTGTGATTCAACTGGAGATTGCTTTGACATTAAGGTTCACTTTATACCCTTTATGCTTTCCTCAAAACTGGGACCCAGAAAGAATATTGAGGTCTGTTCCCACTTCCTCCAAAATAGGCTGGGTCAGGAAACCATGTGAAATACAATAAAAGTGTAATCCTCTACCTCATGCAAACTCAGAGAGAGTCTTAGGTATCTGAAATTTTCAGGTGTAGTTTTTATCCTCTTCACCTGTTTCTCCCCTGGTTGTTTTGCTTTGATATATCTGACACTCCAAAGGAGAGGTGATGGATAAAGACAGCCTCAAATGCATTATTGATAGCTCAGGAGAAAGTAATTAAACTTTATTCTTTCTCTGAAATTGTTTCCACCACAGATGTATGGAAACAGTTTCCCATCAGATAGTAACATTCAGAGGGTTATTAAATAGTTCTGATTTTTTTCAGACTGAGTAATAAAGTTGTCTTTTATGGCTTCCTTCCTTCAGGGTAATAAAAAGTCATCTTTTTATAGCTTCCTTCAAAGAATACAAATTGGAATTCGTAATTTATAGGACATACATTCCTAGTTTATAAGTAACAATTGAAAGCTGCCAAATTTAGATAAAGATGTCTCCCCACTCTTTTCCTCCTTTAACCCTATAGTATGTCTCACGTAAGCCAAGACTTACAAATCTTCAGGATCTCCATAGCAAACATTTCTGATCACAAGGAGGGAATCCGAGTGGATCAAATTCCTAGAAATACTTGTTCTCCTCAGAGTCACTAGGTGGCAGTGGTTGGTAAAGGTTGTGAGTGCTCGGTGACATCATTAGGAGTGAAGCCATCCCAAATGCTAGCAATGACTTAGGAGTGTCACGCAGCCTGTCAGACAGGCATTCTGTGGAGCAGATGGCCAGTGGACTGTGTGGGCCTGTCAGACTTGAATTAATTGATGAAATAAATGAGTGGAATGAAGCACAGGAACCTTTCTTGGTAAAAGTAATTTGGAGAAAGGACTAGCATCTTACCGCCTGAAGTGAAAAATGGTATCATAAAATAAAAGATACATTCAAACAATGTTTCTGAAAGCTTCTGAATTCTTTATAGGGCTACCTTTGTGTACCATTGATCGATAATTCATCTCCCGTTTCCTTAGCTAAGGAAGCACACAAACCCCCTGTGTTTATCGAGAAGCTGCAAAACACAGGAGTTGCTGATGGATACCCAGTGCGACTGGAATGCCGTGTCTCAGGAGTGCCACCGCCTCAGATATTTTGGAAGAAAGAAAATGAATCACTCACTCACAGCACTGACCGAGTGAGGTGAGAATACACAATGACTTAATCCACATCTGTTCAATAGGTCCTGAGGAAACATAAAGAGATGCACTTTACGTAGCACATAAATCTCTGTGAGAGTCACGCTATTGATGGTATCAAAGACAAAAATCACTCTTTACCCTCATGTATAATTAAGCTTCTGGAAGGAAGCTCTCATTGTATGTGATAAACATTCTAACTTAAATCTCAGGGGGATTTTTTTGAGTGTTTACACCTAGAAGAAAAAATGAATTCATTTGTGTCCGTGGTGATACAGAAACTATTCAGTGGGTTTTGTAAAGGCCAATCCTCCACTAGAAATTAAGTGCGCACATTTATTCAACCTTTTGATGTCTGCTCTTCTCTCCCATTAACTTTAATGGGCTAGCAGCCTTTCCAGAATAAGTATGACCCTATTATCTGCTACGTGCCCAATTCTGTTTCTAATGATCTAATTAAAAGTGATGCTTCATGTCCAAAGCCACTTTTTAAAAATTTAGAACCCTATTGACTTTATCCATTTCTCCAGCATGCACCAGGATAATCATGGCTACATCTGCCTGCTCATTCAGGGAGCTACAAAAGAAGACGCTGGGTGGTACACGGTATCAGCCAAGAATGAAGCCGGGATTGTGTCCTGTACCGCCAGGCTGGATGTTTACAGTGAGTGCCACTTCATCTCCTCTCACTGCAGTTACTCATTAAATCATGAAAAAGCAGACATCTGGACAGCCAATCATATTACTTTTATATAAACTTATAAACAACTGTGGAGTTTTATTTGCCCAAAATTTCATATTGCTCTTTCTCTTTCTATTTATAGTTTCTCAACATTAATAGTGAACTACACCAGGAGAACAAATACCCAAGTATCATTCAGGAACTTTGCATTATTAGCAAAATATGCATGTTGATTTCTCTTACGTTGGCTAGTCAGTTGTGGCTTCCTTACACAAGCATCCGTAGGAGTTAACAGTAGGCGAAGGCATAACCACGTTTTTCACATTTTCTTGTTACTGTGTTCTGCAAATGACTGCCTTTTAACATTTCTTGTTATATCCTACCACAGCGTCTTACTGCACTCTAAATGTGTGTACCATTGATCCCGGAATGCATCTTTTCTGTGGCTTAGCGCTTTTCTCTTTAATATACCTTAAGCAGCTCAGCAGTAGTTTTGTGAGTGTTTGTGTATGTATATTTGTGTACATGCATTTTAAAGAAACTTATTTCTGAATTCACAGACTAGTACAGTAGCATTATGTGATCTATTGACATAAAGAAAACCACTAGAAAAAAATTAAGAACTGATAGCAAATTTTACCTCTTGTTGAATAGGAAATAATTTTGTGAGGTTCTTCAAGTATTGAGTTACCTCAACCTTCCCTCCTGCCCACTTCTTTCCAATTGACTAGTGCTGAACCATCCATCCTGAGTACCTAACTACTGTAATTATTATGACATTTGTACATTTTGTGCTTTGAAGATGTTTTTTAAAGAGGGGGAGAGGTGAGAATTAGGAAGCTGAGCGACTGTTTTTGAATGACTTCCTGTGCTGCAGTAAGTGTTAACTTTAAAAGAAACTACACTTCTTTACTACCTAGCTGTTACAGTCCCACTATCCTGGACAGAAAGTAAATCTGCAATATATGAGGAAAATTTGCAAAACTGTGCTTACATTTTAGGATTTCTACCATGCTAAAGAATATGTGCCTGGTATATACGAAAAGACATTCTGTATTTACTTGAAACATTTAAGTGCTTTCCAGGACATCTTGAGGTTTTTTTTTAATCTTTTTTTTTTTTTTTTCCTTTTCTATTGTAGCCCAGTGGCATCAGCAGCCACAGAGCACCAAGCCAAAAAAAGTACGGCCCTCAGCCAGTCGCTATGCAGCACTTTCAGACCAGGGACTAGACATCAAAGCAGCGTTCCAACCCGAAGCCAGCCCATCTCACCTGACACTGAATACCGGCTTGGTAGAAAGTGAGGACCTGTAATCCAACATTCTTTTTAACGCTGAAACACTGAAACAGCCACCATTGCCTTGACCAACATATTCCTTTGTCACATTATGTAAAGGGCAAAACATACCTTTGACTATAAGAAATAAACACCAAAATAATACTTTTCCTACTTGATATACCAAACTTAGAGTTTCAGTAGGTGATGCTCATAGAAATGTACACATTGCACAGAAAATCTTCATTCATCATCCAACTTAAAACTTGTGGAATCTCTGTGATGAAAGCGATCTGAAATGCCAAAATGCTAATGAAAATCAGCTGTTCAAAGGTAACCAGAATTTGTATTCTCCATAGTACCTTAAACACTAGCTGTAGGTGCTACACAGCATGACAGTGTGGAATCCTTAACAGGAGGCAAATGTACCGCAAATAATACTAAAATGTTTCTAAGTGGGCAGTGTGTTCAGACAGCTACAGTGAACCAAGTGCAATATATAGGGATGAAAGGAAGAGGAAATGACAAATCCAAGTAAATGCCTTGTTTTTGCAAAATTGTTTTATATTAAATCATAAGGAATTACTGGCCTTTAATTTTATTAATATCGAGAGCTTTCTAAAAAGGTTAATACCTTAGTTCTTAACCACCTTTTTCTTTATGTGTAGTATTTTCTTTTCATGCTACCTTGGTAGGAAGCTTACTTACAATCCATATTAAAAGGCTAACTTAATTATAAATAATACAAAGTATTCCAAATAAAGCAGAACTGTATTACAGTCCATTCCACAAAAGACATCCAAATCACCCAAATGACCAAGGCGTATAGTATTCAGCGGAAAGAGGGGTCTGGAAGGAGTAGGAAGAATGAAGGAAAATGCTACCAGCACACTTGTACTCATTTAAATAAAAGTAGAAGAGGCAGGAGACACCTGCTTTTCTTTGGTGAAGGCCAGGCTTTTCTTTGGTTTTCAAAAAAAAAAAGTATTTTTTTTACTTTAGGTAAATACTTTAGATAAATACTTTTACCTAAAGTATAAGTAAAAAAACACTGCCATTCAAATGTCAGGGGATCTAGGGTCAGCTGGGAGATTGGAGCACATGTGCTGTGGAAGTTTTAATGTCTGAAGTCTGTGTAGTCGCTGAAGAGGTTAGGTGTGTTGAGCAAGTGGAAAATGGACCGAGACTGCAAGAATGGCATCAGTAAGGAAACTGCCTGTAAGAGATAGTCTACTGGAGGAAAATGGAGACTTGGGAAAGACAAAAACAGGTTTGTGCCACAATCAATTTTTTTCCAATGGCACCATGATATGGTGAATGGAAAATATGAGTTCACTTCCATGCTGCCATGCAACCTTGCCTTAAGAAGGTGCTAGGTTCTGGGTAATTTGTAAAGGCATCTCTGCAAAGACTGATTTTTGAATGCATATGATCCTGCAACAGCTAGACTGACATGATTCTGACCAGACTTGATGGTTTTAAGTCGGAACCAATAAACTTTAAAAAGGAGGAAAAAAACTAATTTGGCCAGATATTATATTATAAAACACGAGGTTTTAATGGTACTTTGCTATGAAAAGAAAACACTGTATTCCTTATGCAAAACACATATATCTTTCATTATTTATAATAAAAATGTTGAACTGTCTTAGCTCAGTTAATTCAATATATAGTATTTTTTAAAATAATTTTATATCTGTGTACCACCCCATATATTTCATATTACTGCTTCACATGTACAGCTTTCTACTACTTTGTAAGAACACCAACCAACCAAGTTTTAAATGACTAATAGGCTTGATCACTGGGTGGCAGATGTTCTTTGCAGAGTAGTGCAAGTTTCTTTGACCACACTCGTATGCGTTGCTAATATGGAATTTAAGATACCATACAAAGTCTTTCATGGACCTAGCTATATCGTAGAATTATGACTTAACATCCTATCTTACTTGCCAAATTTTTCTGAATGTGACTGTTTGCTAATTTGCTGGGTTTGGGATTGAGTAGCATTATTTGCCACCTTTTATGTTGTATTTATAAAAAAGTACTATCATACTACTATTTGGATTGTTGTGCTGGTGTAATGTGGATTTAACATCAATAAATATTTAACAAATAATAGCTGCAATTTTGTGAAGCAAAATACTCCATTGTTTTAGTTTTCTGTTGCTTATGTCATAAATTAGTATAAACTTAGAAGCTTAAAATAACATTTATTAGCTCACAGGTCTATAGGTCAGAAGGGCTGGGTTCTACACTCTGAGTCTTACTAGGCTAACATCAGCACATCCATTGGACAACATTCTCATCTGGAGCTCTTCCAAGTTCAAGGAGTTGTGACAAAATTTATCTCCCTGCAGTTGTAGGCTAGAGGCCTCAATGTAATCTGTTGTCTAGGGGGCACTCTCAGCTCCTACGGGCCATCTGCATGCCTTGCCATGTCATCCCCTCCATCTTCAAGACCAGCAAAGAGAATCTCAGCAAAGAGAATTCCTCAGCTAAGAGAATCTCCCTCAGAATGGATCCTTCTCATGCCTTGATCTTGTCAGAGGCCCAGCCCCTTCTAAGGGATCGCATGATTAGGTCAAGCCCAAGTGAATACCCCTCTTTCTTAAAATGACCTGATTTTTTTTAATATAATTAAAATCTCTCCAAAGCAACACCTAAATTTGTGTTTGATTGGATAACTGAGAGAAGGTGTGTGTACACCAGGAGGTGGGAATACTGGGAGCCATCTTAGAATTCTGCCTATATGCATGTAAATAATGTTGGTTCCTGTGATGCCCTATGGGGAAAGTATACTGTGACCCCAAACCATATGCCCTCTCTTGACATCTATGAAATTAAATAGGGTTCTGGTTCAAGATGGATGACAGGATCCTGAACACACCTCCTCCCACAGACACACCAAATCAACAACATACATAACAATTTCTTCTAAAAGAAACCCCAAAACTAACCGACTGCTACACATTAGGCAAATGAGACAACCCACATCAAACACATGTAAGAGGTTGTAACACAATCTTGCCCTAAATGCCGCCCCTGGTGCAGTAACCTACAATCAAGAGGGAACTCAAAATCCCAGACTTCAGCCTCAGGATCAAAGGATTTGAACCCCACATGAGTACCCCAACTTTTTTTTTAAAGATTTTATTAGTACCCCCAACTTTTAAGACCTGCACCCGAGAGACAAGCCCCAAGAATATCTAGCTTCACAAGCTAGTGGGGCCTACAGCCACAAGACCACAAGGCTATAACAATCTGACAAATAGTCCTTAAAAGGCTCCAACAGGGTCACCCACCCTAGGGACCAGTTTTTCATGAAAGGAGCCTATTTGCTTATCTTAAAGCATCAGCCTGAGTGGCAGACACCTAATTTAATAAACATCCAGGGGTATACTGAAATAATCCAAAGACTAAGGCTGGTGAGTACCAACCATCTCTACGCTCACCCTCTGCCTCGCTCCGGGTCACTAGTATCTCCAGAAAGAAGCTTGTGCAAATGTCTGGCACCCTGGTTTTGCAGCTGCCGCCCAGGAGATACCTCTTGATTGCCTGGCTATGGTGGCTAGTGGAGGCAGATCCCTGTAACAGTGACTGTAAGAGAAACACAGTTCTTAACCACCTACAACCCAAGAATGGAGCAGGGGCAGAATGAAACAGAGTCTTCCTGGGAGAGAGGACTATTTGCTTATCCTTACAGATGCAGCCTGAGCGGCAGGCTTCTAACGAAACACACATCTAAGGGCCAACTTTAATCCTCTCCAGAGACCTCCAAGGCCAGCCACTATCTTGACACTCTCCCTCTGCCTCACTCCGGGTTGCTGGCATCTCCCTAAGAGGAGCCTGTGCACATGTCTGAGGCCCTGGTTTGTGCATGCTGCCCAGCCGACATCCCTTGACAGCCTGGCTCTGGGGCCAGAGGATTTATATTCATGAGTCCCATAAGACTAGTGAGAAACAGTTCTTAACCAGCTATTCCCAATATATAACCCCTAAGACTCCCCAGCCAAGACACAAAAGAGAGCACACTGAAAAGCATTGCCAGTCTCTCTGTGAAAGGGACAATTAGCTTGTCTTCATAGCTGTGCCTTGAGAGGAGGCTTGTAATTAAAGACACTTCCAGAGGCTGACTACAATCCCCTCCAGAGACCACCAGAAAGGCCACCAATGCACATCTTCAAGCTCTCCCTCTGCCCTACCTCAGTTCACCAGTTATTTTCAAGAAAGGAGCTTGTATCTACATCTGGTACCCCCGCTTTCCCAGCTTCTTTCCAGAGAGCATATCCCTTGACAGCCTGGCCCTACTGGTCAACAGGGTTTGTGTTCATGGGCTCAACAGAATGGTGGCAAACAAAGAAACAGCTCTTAACTGGCTATAACCCCAGGATTCAGCTCAGAAGCAGCAGATATGCTCTAGTCCCAGTCTTCCCCCAAAAGAGATATATCTGCATACTTTAAATGTTGCTAAGAATATGGCTTTTAAACAGCCTGAATCTAGGTGCTGACTGAGCTTCTCCAGTTAGCATAATGACAGGTCTTGGCACAGCCTCAACTACCAGGAGCCACTAAGGATGAAGTAGGCTGCTTGGACAATAACAAAGGTTTGAGCAAAGACTGGGTTGGACAATAAAATTCATCTCCTACACAAGGCTACTCCTTCAAGACTGGGAGAGGTGGATATTTTATCCAATGCATAAAAACCAGGAGTGTCAAGGAAAATGAACAAAGAAATACATTCTAAAGGAAAGAACAAGATAAAACATCAGAAAAAAGACCTTAATGTAATGGAATTAAGTGACTTACCTATTAAGAGTTCAAAATAACATTCATAAAGATGCTCACCAAGCTCAGGAAAAGAATGAATGAAAAAAGTGTAAACTTCCATAAAGAGAAAGAAAATATAAGTCAGTACAGCAAAGAGAAGTCACAGAGCTGAAGAATACAATAATTGAGCTGAAAAATATAATAGAGAGGCTCAACAGCAGACTAGAGAGAAAAAATTGGAGACGATGATGGGGAAAAAGAGTAGATGAAGAAAAAAGGATCAGTGAACTTGAGGCTAGAGCACTGGAACATGTTCAATTATGGCAGCAAAAAGAAAAATGAAGAGTGAAGATAGCTTATGGGACTCATGAAACAACATCTAGCTTATCAACATCTGCAGTATAGGCGTCTTAGGGGGAAAAAAAGAGAGGAGTCAGAAAATTTACTTCAAGAACTAAGGGCTGAAAACTTCCCTAACTTGGAAAGGGAAACAGACAACCAGATCCAAGAAGACCATAGAGTTCCAAAAAAGATGAAATCAAAAAGACCCACACCAAAACATATTATAACTGAACTGTCAAAAATTAAAGACAAAAAAAAAATCTTAAAAGCAGCAAGAGAAAAAAAACTTGTTACATACAAGGGAAGCCCCATAAGACTATCAGATTTTTCAGCGAAAACTTGGCAGGCCAGAGAACTGGCATGATATATTCAAAGTGTTGAAAGGAAAAAAAAAAGTCTGATCAAAACTATACTACCCAGTTACCATTCAGAACTGAAGGAGGATAAAAGAGTTTTCCAGACAAAAGTTAAAGTTTGTCACCATTAAACCAACCTTACAAGAAAGGTTAAAGGGACTTTCTTAAGGTGAAAAGAAATGGCACTAATTAGTGGCTGGAAAACATATGAAAGTATGAATTTCACTGTTAGAGGTAAATAGTAAAGGTAGTAGATTAATCACCTATAAAGCTAGAATGGAGGTTAAAAGACAAAAGAAATAAAATAACTGTAACAACAATAATTAGTTAAGGGACACACAAAATAAAAAGCTAACATGAAAAACAAAATGGGTGGGTAGAGTAAAAAAGTATGTGTGCAAATTTAAGTCATTATCAACTTAAAGTAGACTTATCAACATAACTTGTATTATGTAAGCTGTAAGCCTGATGGTACCCACAGAGCAGAAACCAATAGTAGACACATGAGAGCTAAAGGAATCGAAACATACTGCTATAGAAAATAATCAAATCACAAAGAAAAGGGGCAAAAGAAGGGAAAAAGCATTTCTAAACAATGAGAACAAATTAACAAAATGACAATTAGCACATGCCTATCAATAAATACTTTAAATGCGGGGCGCCTGGGTGGCTCAGTGGGTTAAAGCCTCTGCCTTCGGCTCAGGTCATGGTTCCAGGGTCCTGGGATCGAGCCCCGCGTCGGGCTCTCTGCTCAGCAGGGAGCCTGCTTCCTCCTCTCTCTCTCTGCCTGCCTCTCTGCCTACCTGTGATCTCTGTCAAATAAATAAATAAAATCTTTAAAAAAAAAAATACTTTAAATGCAAAGAGACTAAATTATCCAATAAAAAGACACAGAGTGGCTGAAGAGATAAAAACCAAGACCTATCTTTTTTTTTTTTTTTTAAGATTTTTTTATTTCAGACAGAGATCACAAGTAGGCAGAGAGGCAGGCAGAGAGAGGAGGAAGCAGGCTCCCCGCTGAGCAGAGAGCCCAATGCGGGGCTCAATCCCAGGACACTGGACACTGGGATCATGACCTGAGCCGAAGGCAGAGGCTTTAACCCACTGAGCCACCCAGGCGCCTCAACCAAGACCTATATTATGCTTCCTGCAAGAGACTCACTTCAGATATAAGAACACACACACACTGAAAGTGAAGGGATGGAAAAAGATATTCCATGAAAATGGAAACCAAAGTAAAGGTGGGGTAGATAAAGTCTGTTTTCTCTGATATCCGTTAAAATAGTAATGAGATAAAGAAGGTCATTATAAATAATAAAGGGGTCAGGGACACCTGGGTGGCTCAGTCAGTTAAGCCACTGCCTTTAGCTCAGGTCATGATCCCAGGGTTCTGGGATCTACTCCCACATCCAGTTCCTTGCTCTGCAGGGAGCCTTCTTCTCTCTCCAGCCTCTGCCTGCCACTCTGCCTACCACTCTGCCTGCTCGTGCACTCTCACTCTCTCGCTCTCTCTCTCTCTGACAAATAAATAAGTAAAATCTTTTTAAAAAGGGGGGGATCAAGCCAACAAGGGGATACAATATTTGCAAATATTTATGCATCCAACATAGAGCACCTATAGATATAAAGTAAATATTAATGCAAACATAAA